CCACGCAGCGGCCCCTAACCCATCCATCTTAAAAATATTATTACAGTGAATATAACATTTTGATTTATGTAACAGTGTGGTAACATAAAAATAACCATGATTAGAAATTTGTACAACTTGATCGATGATTTACATAAATTGCCTTTAAAAAAGAAGTGAATACAGCCATGATTAGGTATATATGTATATATATATATATATACTGGTAATAATCATTAATTAAAATTAAAAACAAATTGCGTTAAAATCAATATTAATGAAGAAATGGCATTAATCAATTTCAGAGAAGCGTAAAAAATCGCGAAACTATTACGTTGGTGCCAATGATGCTAACTTAAGTTTGGTAATATATTCAACCTGAAATAATAATAATAAAAAAATAGTTATAGAGTAAGTACTACAAAGCAAAATTAATGTAAAAAAAATAGCACAAATTCGTTTTGGAGAGATATAAAAAAATCGATATATTTTTATTGACACCAATAATACTTAATTTTTGTAATAGGCACTACTGGTATTATGGTAATAAATGCATTTTTAATAGATACGACAAATATAATTATAATGCTTCAAAAGCTTTATTAGTACATTTGGTACCCATTAAAATTGCATCAATACTGGGAAGTTTTAATACAAATACTGTGAAAAGAGTTTGTACGGTCCCTTTAAAGATTAACGATAAATTTTATCTATCATGAGTCATGAGTTGGTCTCGAACAAGTAGCATCATGCTAAATGATTCTGAATATTGTTAAGCTTTATTTTGAGGGGATAAACTATTGCGTTTTGCTTAATCTAATAACGTAAAGCCGTCGAAAAAGGTAAGTTATAACGATAAATTTTAAAAAATAGGATTATTTTAGTATCTATAGTGTTGGTGTATGTATTTTAGTTTTGTGCAGGATTTTGCAGAGTTGTTCAGTGATAATATATTGACTGCTTATTTTTTCTCCGTATGAAGAACAGATATTCGGTTGGTTAAACAATATAGTAAAATAAATAAATGAATATTAAAAATTATTTTTTGGGTAAATTTTCTTTGGGTGAACAATTTTTATGATTGTATGCATATTTCAAAAAGTTTCAGCTTCGCTTAAGAAGAATTGGAGATATGGCGAAATACGCAAAGGGAAAAATTAACACTAAGGGGTCAAAACTTTTGATTGCTTTTCTGCCTAAACTATCGGGCCATATTTCACAGATTGCGAATGATCCCCGTATTTTAAGCGTCAAGAATCCAAATTCGTCGAAAGAAAGGCATATTTTTCAGTAAAAGTTCGTTTTGGTGCCTGATTTCGCAGCTATTTTTTCGGGGGCTCAGGGTCAAGTCGTTTGACGATGACGCATCCAATTGACAAGACCTTGTTCGTGATACAAATGCTTGCAAACGATTCGGTGGGGATGTCAATCATGTCCTCGAGGGAAATCGAGCAGGTGTTGGGAGTGGCATAATACCACTCCTCGAAAGGGCACACTGAAAAGGCAATTGCGAATCTCATTTGCCAGGTGACACACCAACGCCTCTTTCAAATTGTAGCCTTTCAGAAACCGGGTATCCACAATCTTTCACAGCCATCGCATGCCAAATGTATTCCATATCCGATAGGCTGGGCTCCCCGACATGCAAGTCATTGGGCAGAATTCATTCTGCACAAACTTTCGAAACACACCTCTCACCTGAAACAATTTGAGATAGCCGTTGAGATGGAGCACTGGATGCGCGGCACGCCCCAATACCACAACCTCTGGTTCCTCCATCAACAACACCTGCTCGGGTGTCTCCAGCAATGAGTTTGAAAAAAAAAAAACGATGAAATATAAAAGATCAGAAAACCCCGTTTAAAAGCCCCACCCAAATCTACGAGCATTCCACTGGGTTTCAGATCCAGCGCAATGGATTTCAGAGCACCCCCCCTCCCAACTCCATGAATGTCCATGCATCCCAACATCTCTCACAGCTCTCTTTCTCTCCTGTGTTTCGAAGCCAAGTTTTTCCAAAGATGTAACACGATTACAGAGCAACCCAATCCATTTCAACCTCCCCCCATCCCAATGCATGTCAACACAACGCTTTTCCCATGGATGGGGGGCAGCAGTTCTCTGCAATGCTCAGTCCAGGGGTCCAGAGCACCAGGTTTTCTGAGGCCATGCGATACCATTCGTAACATCATCACCGGGAGCAGTTCCATAAACCATGGAATGTCAAAGCCTCCCGATGATCCACTGAAAACGCTTGGCTGTCATGCCTAAGCGTTGCACCACTTTGGGTAGCTCAACCATTTAAAAAACGAGACCAGGCTTTGAAATCTTTCAGACGGTCTCATAGGTCAAAGCATTCCAATGCCTAAGCGTTCTACCACTCTGATTGGGTGCATCTCAACTATTGGAAAACGAGACATCGCAGGGCATGGCATGGCTTTGAAATCTTTGAGACGGCTCAGTGGTGGGGTCGTTGCGTGGCGTGGATCACTTGAAAACTCTATGGAAATGGTGTGGCTCTGAGATCCTGGACTGGGGGAGTGAGATGAATCGGATTGGGATGTCCTGTTCCTGGGTTGGGGAGGGGGGTATGGTGAACATGGCTAAGATGAACAATTTGTAAAATGGGTCTGAAAAAATAGTGTCGAGAGCTAAAGCTAAAAAAAAAAATTTCTTATGAGCGAATGTCGAGTCTTGCTGGCCCCAGTGTCTACAGAATTTTCTCAGCTTCACAGTATTCCATTCAACTTCTCAGAGTCTGAATCACTTTGTATATTCTCGTCAAGATGAGTCATACCGATATTTTAATAAAAAGATTATCCATTATCCATTTTGCGACAAGAGTTTGAGATTGGACGAGTATAGAAAGACTCATTCCCAATCTGAACATGGTTTAAATGAAAAGATTGAATGCATTTTTTGCGGAAGATACAATTTTTCAAATTCAACGGCGGACGACATCTACACAAAAGAATGCTTTGACTTGTTTAAAACGAAGAATAAAAAAGCACCAAGAAAAATGTTTAACCACGACGATCAACGCTGGAACCAGTACTGCTGCCGATACTCTCGAAATCTCATCTCATGGATTACGTATATGCCTTAAGTTTGACCCCTCATCCCTTTATCGTTGACTCAACCATCGAGACATTGGCGAAGATTGGCAAGAGTGTGGATTTTATGATAACTACCCACGCAACTTTCAAGAATTGCAAGACACGGGTTTGTTTCATGTGTTTAATGAAGAGAGTGGTTTGGGTCGAGAGGTTACGGCCTTGTTTCGAATGTTCTTTTCCAAGACATGGACGTTTTTTCACGTGTTTATTCGATCTTTTGCCTTTTCCAGTTTCAAACAAAAAGTGTCCGTGGTTGAAGCCAGTCGACTGGTGGTATCGTCCTTTTGGTGCTTGTGCGATGGCTGCAGGACTGAAAACCGAAATGTCATGGCTTGTCATAAACTCCATCACCTCATGATTGTGGCAGTGTGCTATCGAGCCGCTTATCTGAAAACATGGAACAAGATTCACGTGTCTCACGCTTCAGAGCGATATTGCAAGGGAGATAAAAAGATTAAGACGGCCATCCATTTGGTCAATACCATTCAATATGTATTGTATCCAGTGAAAAAGCTCAATGTTCCGGATCCAACCAGCCGGAAGTGGGGCGAGGTGGACATTTTTGCATCAATCGCACGTTGTACGGTCACAGAGTCATGTCCATGACCAGTTTGTGGCGCAACTGTATAACGGAATGGATAAGACAAAACCTTCAAGATAAACTTGTACTAGATTAGAATGTAAAAGTGTTTTGGACCCCCCGCAAAACATATCGTGTGCATCTGCTCGACATTATGGATATGGGAGACTGTCAATTGCGATGGGATTGGGAACCTCATCCAGAAGGAGATTTCACAGTGTTTTGGTTTGAGAACAACACAAACCAATGGATGTCGAACCCACATTTATGAATCACATAGAGGCCATGACCTATCAGATTCTGCTCCAACGAATGAAAAATGCTTATTCTACTTTAAATAAACAGCAATTCCGTCAAATGAGTATCGTTGAGCATATGACTGAGAAATAAAGAATTGAGATGCAAACACTCAATGCAGATGGCGTTTCGGAAAGAAATACATTGAAACGTCGAATTGCCACGCTGGAACAAGAAATGATAGATTAAAACACTCTGACGCAAGTAGTATTAAATACCAAATCAGTAGTATATAAGACGCGTTAACTTGAATCCATCAAGAGGTACCTTTTGATAGATGAAGGTTGACATAGTCGATTTATAATTCCCCTCACTGCGATACGACATCTTGTCCTTTTCAAATGCAGAGCCCGTAGCGTTTAGTTTAGAAGATTCCATTGCGTGTGACGTCGTGGGCGAATCCATTGAATTTAGCGCCATCTGTTTTATATAAAAAAGCTCGCAAGCCGAGAAGCGCTTTCCACACAGATATGACTGTAATTATGCAGAGGCTTCACTGCCACCACTCGAATCTTTACCTTACCTACCTTCTTTACCAGTGCTCCAATTTCTCGATCTCGACGGCTATCTCAAAGTGTTCAGGTGAGAGGTGTGTTTCTAAAGTTTGTGCAGTATGATGGATATTTGGTCAATTTAGGAATTGGTAACTGGGCGGAGTGAGCTTGACGCTAGCTTCTATCCATCAATCTTCTTATAACCCTATATTGATTGTGTGAGCAAACTTTTTCGCCAAAGCAATTGGCGTTGTTTAAACAAAAGCTATTGTTAGAGGAAGCCATTTTCTGTATTTGGCTGCGCGGGATTTTATATTTTATCATCATAAAAGTTTTAATTACAGGTAATTCTTATTAATTAAAGATTTATAATATTAGTGTACGTTTCATAGCAGTATATAAAAAAATTACATAAAATTTTTAAAAAGATTAATGAATTTTATTAAATATCTGTGAATACCACGCGTTAGATTTTAAAGTAAATAGTTTGTAAAATGTATGTATTTTAAGAAAATCGTTATAAAAATTCATTTATCAAAGTTTTTCTCTGCTTCCTTAGAAATCCTTTGTTTGATCTGCCGAAATTGTGTGAAGCAGTTTAGTAATGAAATTTCATTTAGTTGAATTACTTGATTAATGTTTATTTTAGTGACATAATACAGAGGTATCTTTTTTTTCTATGAAATATATTGCTAATTAAAATTTATTATATATAGAAAGATTAATATTGAATTTTCTTAAAAATAGTGAAGAGGGTTTTGATCATGTCTAAAATAATTTGTTTCAATCTTATTGTAAACTAATCTAAAAAAAAATTCTGAGAGAAATGGAACAAATTTAGATAATATTTATCATTTTCATTCACAGTTACTGCATTCATTATTATTCTTTTAGGTTGTCTTAACTATTGAATAAATTATGAGCATGCATACTTTCAAAAAAAATTTTTATTCTATAGGTGTATCACAATTATGTGCAAAACAATTTGTACTCAATAATTTGTTTTATTTAAAATACATAATACAAATACTATAATAAATTAGAAGATAATTCAGATTAGCAAGTTATCTTAAATTTAAGTTATCTTTATTGGATATTAATATGAAATTGAATTTTTTCAATTATTTAACTTCTCAAACTATATCTATAATTGTATTTTTTTCATTACCCTAAGATTTTTGACAGTTTACGTGGACAATGTAAAGCAAACTTTTCATATTTCTTCTTTCTCTTCATAAAATACTTTTTTACTAGGTGATTCCCTGGAGAAGTATTTGGCTAATTACTTAAATGCTGAATGAAAATGGGATATCGATGTTTGCACACCCTGGAATCGGTGTGGACAAATTAAGTGTGCAGTTGTGAAGGGACGATTGTGTTTTTGTCTTAATTCATGTTGGTAAGTTGAAATGTAATTTATTTACATATTTAATGATTATGTATCTAAACCATTTGTTGGCATTGTTAGTATCTTGTGTAACTATTCTAATTCAGATACTTATTTATTTTTTTATTAATATTACTTATGGTTGTGCTATAAAATAATAATTTATTTTGCTTTTCTTAAAAATAAAGGAACTAATGATGTGCAATTGGGTACAATGCCCAACTTTAAAAAACTGGCTTTTGTGGTTAATAAAATTTGTGGGGTTATTGGGGAGATTTTGTTTGGTTANCAGCGAAAGATTGTGGACTGGTTTCTGATAGGCTACAATTTTACAGAGGCGTTGGTGTGTCGTGGTGAACGTGATTCGCAATTGCCATTCGAGGAGTGGTATTATGCCCCTCCCAACACCTGCTCGATTTGCCTCGAGGATATGGTTTAACGTAATTCCCTCTTACATTCAACCTCTTAAAATGTTTGTTTAAATTTCCGGAGATGACGTTAGTGATTCAAATCGAGAATTTTATTTTCCTCTCTTTTTTGAAGTGGCAACGTTGAAAGATTTCCGGCTGTATGTAAACATGAAATTTTAAATCGAGTTTAAAATTACAATTCAATTTTTGCGCAAGAATAATGCGAAATGTTCGCGAAAAAAACCAGAGAATATCCACGAATAGTTAGTATACTTGAAATACAATATTCAGTTTTTATTTACAACTTTCTTAATGTTAAATTTTCTAATTATTTCTCATGGTTTCTGAAAACTTGTTTAAAGATGAACTGGTAGAAATGTTCCCTTTTTGGTAAAAAATTTCAAGCTGGCGGTTGAATCATACTGTAGATTTCCTTCCTTTTTTTTGTTATTTTTAATATTTTCCCAATTTTTTTAGCGACTATTTGGCAATTTATGTGTAAAACGATTTTTTTTGTACTAGTGTAGAATTTGAACCCTTGGTTTAACTACAAATTTCTATTGTACAGATTTTGCTGAAATCTTAAATATTTCTGGTTACCATGATATTCTTTTCTAACCAGAGAATTGGGGAAAGAAATCTGTTATTGACTGGTGCTTGGGGAACGAAGAGCACGGGGCGAGCTCAAATGATCAGAAAGTCGGCTCCCCCAATCGTGGCAAGTTGAACAAAGCCGACTCCTCCATTCTGCTTTTAACATGTAAAGTCTATGACGAGCTTGTCATACTTTGAATCGATTTTTCTTGTTTAAGAATCGGAGTGATCAATTAAAAAAAAAAATACTAATAATTTTTTCAATCTTTCCTATCCACGAAAATGTAGGTCAATTTTTTTTTTTTTTATCTTTATTACTTTTTGTAATATAGCCTTTAAAACACAAGTCACTTTCTACCTTTGAGTAAGGGAGGAAGGCAACTTCCACCCCCAAGTTCATTCTCCAAGAGACGTTTGCGGACTAATCTTCTCCATAGGGTGTCTTGCTCCCTCCCTCCCAAATACCTTTACTCTGTTCAACTCTTTTTGAAAATCTTTGACCCCCGCAGGTTGCAATCCCCCTTTTCTGTGACAGTGGTTAGTCGATTAGTTTCGGGTTACTTAACACCCCAGGAAGTACACGTACCCCCACCAAAAATGTAGGGGAGACAGTGAGACTGGTTTTGGAGGAGCTTTACATTTCATCCATGTTCGGACCAAACTCTTTCTGAAGGTTAGAAGAGAAATGGAAAGGCCTTTTCACGTATTCTTTGGCCAAGGACTGGTGTATGCATGAAGGTTTGTGTAGCTCTCATTATTTTTGACCTCTTTGTTTGAAAGAAAAGCATTTAGATGAACCAAGGGAGTGAACTGATGGCTATGTGTGAGTAAAGATGGTCATCTTTGAAAACTGTCTCTGAGGAACAGTAGGTGTGTTTGAAAAGAGTATGAAAATGGGGGATATTTCCGAATTATGATCTGTTACGCCAACTATAATCGCTATAAATAGTTTTTAAACTTGTGAATTCTTTTGAAAAAACATTCAGATGATTGCCCAAGGGGTGGGTATTTGGGTACGAGTTATATTTTTCAATTTGGTCCTTTTCTATGATATTTTTAGTTTCTTGTGAGCTGCTGCCTGGAAGTTGCAAAGACATGGCAATTATTCTGCCACGGATCACGATATGGAATTATCCCCAATATGAGATAGAAATAACTGTGGTTGATTGGATATGTGGAGATGTGTGTATTGATGTATGTGTAAAAAATTGTGAAATGATTAGAGGCTCATGTGGAAATTAATAAAAGCAAGTTAGATAAGAGAAAATATAATTATGGTAGATGAGTGTTTCGTAGTATTGAGTGGTAAATGTTTTTTTTAGATCATGTAATAAAGATTTTGTTGGAAATTATTATCCAGAAAATATAGTCAGGGAACATCTCAGATTACTGAATTACTTGTAAAATGAAGGTTTTTAGACAATCATTCCTTGAATTTTGTTGATCCTGATACTTGAGAGAGTTAATTATGGAAAACTATTATAATTTTTGTTTTTACATAAAATAAAGAGGAAACAATTAACTAAAATGAGTTGAAAAATTTCATCCTAGACATTCTATAGNAACAGTAGGTGTGTTTGAAAAGAGTATGAAAATGGGGGATATTTCCGAATTATGATCTGTCACGCCAACTATAATCGCTAAATAGTTTTTAAACTTGCGAATTCTTTTGAAAAAACATGCAGATGATTGCCCAAGGGGTGGGTACGAGTTATATCTTTCGATTTGGTCCCTTTCTATGATATTTTTAGTTTCTTGTGAGCTGCTGCCTGGAAGTTGCAAAGACATGGCAATTATTCTGCCACGGATCACGATACGGAAATATCCCCAATATGAGATAGAAATAACTGTTGTTGATTGGATATATGGCGATGTGTGTATTGATGTATGTGTAAAAAATTGTGAAATGATTAGAGGCTCATGTGGAAATTAATAAAAGCAAGTTAGATAAGAGAAAATATAATTATGGTAGATGAGTGTTTCGTAGTATTGAGTAGTAAATGTTTTTTTTAGATCATGTAATAAAGATTTTGTTGGAAATTATTATCCAGAAAATATAGTCAGGGAACATCTCAGATTACTGAATTACTTGTAAAATGAAGGTTTTTAGACAATCATTCCTTGAATTTTGTTGATCCTGATACTTGAGAGAGTTAATTATGGAAAACTATTATAATTTTTGTTTTTACATAAAATAAAGAGGAAACAATTAACTAAAATGAGTTGAAAAATTTCATCCTAGACATTCTATAGGCTGATTTTTAAAATGCTTAATGTGTGTGAATGAAAAATTAACAATTTTATACTTCGGTTTAATAATTATGTAATTTGTTAATAAAAGGCTTTCAATTAAAAAAAAAAGAATATTTTGTTTTACTTTTAAAAATTATGTTATTAAAATAAATGCTAATATTGCAACATGCTTTTAGCAAATTTGATTCCATAGTATGATAATAATTAATTTTAGCCTATGCACAAAATTTATTAAAATTTTCGAAAGTTAACTTATAATAGTAAAAAAATGTAAGGCTGATGTAGTAGAGGGCATGATTGATGCATAACTATTTTTTGTTTTGAACCATTCATTGATTTTACACCGAAATTAGGAATTACTTTATTAGGTCCCAAAATAGAGGTGTTTACCCTTTGGAAAACTGAAAAACTGATAGTAAAACCATTTCATTTCATATTCCTAAATATTAAAATGAGAGAAAAATCATATATTGGTAATCAGGGTTCTGTATTCATTCTCGAAACATTGAAATAGTTTTACAACCTGCTTTTTCTCTTTTCCGAGTTGCAGAAATCTTTGTTATTGTGTTTCATGAATTTAATTTTTATCTCTGTTGGGATGAAATTTAAACATAATCATTTCGCTTGATCACCATTGCAACTTTATGAAGAAAATTGTATTGATAATTCGTACTTCAAAGGTGATTTAAAACGCTTGTTAAAGATAAATAGTGTGGCAAATTAATGTTATAGAATTTTGTATTCATTATTTTAATGGCATATGTTGTGAGCAGTTTTCCCCAAAGCTTTTAATAAGAATAAATGTTATTTTCGGTTTAGTTTTAAAATCATTCATAGGTTTAAATTCTGATTTAAATAAGTTTCTCGTTAAATATTGCATTATAAGGTTGTATCATGGGATTACTTTAGTTAAAAAAAAAACAACACTGTTTTTAGTTTCAAGCATTTGATAATAAACAAAATAAAAAACTAATAAAATAGAATTCTAAGGATGATAAACAAATATAAAAAAGTAAAAGCTTTTAAATCAGGAGTAAACACAAGGGTTTGTCTAGGCCAAATTTACTACCGTTTAGCGGTATTTTCCCAAACGGTAGTTTCACAAAATATTTTTTCTTAAAATTTTATTTTTGCATCCCATAAGAAACGATAAATCCATATTTTTGTGTTGATTTTTTAATATAATTTTCAATTTTCACAAATTATGCCTAAATTTTCACAAATTATGTCTAAATTTTCACAAAATAGGTACCTCTCAGAAAAACCTAGACTCCTGAAACAGTACCTGTATAACTTATTAAATTTTTATTGACCACTCTCAAAGTACCCTGGATTTTCATGTCTGTAAACTGAGTCATGTCATATTATTTATTTGACCAATGAGAATGCACAGAGTAGTTATCATTTTCACTTCACTTATTTACATTAAAACACCTGAAAATATAACAATTTATTCAATAAATGTTTTAAATGAGCATTTAATTATTTCTTATTGATATAATCTATTTGTTTTATTTTTAGAAAACCGTAGAAAAACTTTTAAAAATGAAGTTTCATAACAGTAGTACTAAAAGTGAGTAAAAACATTTATTATTCCAATGTTTTTCAAAACTACTTCACAAATATGTTTATTTACCACCATTGTATTAAGTAACAAAATAATGCATTTTTAAATATGTTTAAAATATTGTATAATATATAAATTACATAAAATTAAGTTTTTAATGAGTTTTATTTTGATTGCAGTTGCCAATGTGATATTAACACACTTTACCATAAAATAAGTTTTATGCATTGTATTTAATGCCTGGTGTTTCTAAGCAAAGTAACTAAAAGGAAAATTATTATGTTCTTTTCCTAGGCATTGTTCTCTTAGGCATTTGAAAATGACTTAATTTATGTATTCCCTAATATATAAACCATTTTGAAGATATATTTCATAATACCTTATGCAGAAATGAATTCAAAAGATCTTTATCAATATTTAAAAAAAAAATGTTATAATCATGTTACTATAAGAAAAGTTTTGGCATTATTATAGAGTGAGGAGTAACAAAACCTCTTTTATTTGATCATATGATTGAAAAGTTTGCCAATGCTTGGATAAAATTTTTCCGGGATGAATAATTGTTCTTCATAAAAGTCAATATTAAATCTTCACGTTTTAGGACTCAATCTTAATGGTTTGTGGGGGTGACCGCAAATATGCTAATTAATTAATGCAGACAATCTTTTAAGTTACTAAATCAGACACAAAAATGTACTTTACAGTTCCTGTGAAATCGAATTTTGAAAAAGTCAGATATTTAAAATTCGATTTCTCAAGAACAACTTGACTGATTTTGCACAGATTTTTCAAGCATCAGACGTAGATCTTATCAGCGCTCAGCTACAGAGGTATTCTTATTGCCTACGTTGACAAGCACATAAAGGATTTGCATCAATCAGATTTGAAAACTGTTTGGCATTTGAATTTTGTTTCGTTTATTTAAATAACATTAAAAGCAGTTGTCGGGAACCGCTACAAACTACCATTTCTTTTTTGTATATCACTACACTACTTCTTTTAAAAAGCAGCGCACAACACTACAAACTAAAAAGAAATACTGACAACAGTAGTTGCGCTACTTCTGACCACTACTTCCACCATATGCCTGAAATACTTAAGGTTGTTAGCATTTCTCAAATGTCTTTGAGGAGGATAGACAAGGTTACATTCAAAACCTTTGCTCCTGGTGGTCTGTAAAAATTTCTACAAAAGTTTGAAGGTTAGGTTCATTATTATGAGAGGTCAACAGGCTGCCTGACGGTTTAAGGCCCCTTAGTTCATTTTCTTTCTTTGGCATTCAAAGCTTTTTTTTGTTTTGTTTTTGATAAGTTATTTCTACTTTACGTTCTCAATACAGTTATAAAAACTTATGACTAAAAAATAATAAAAAATTCTTTTTAGCAGTTCTTTCTTTACACTTACTTTCTTTTTTTTTTTTTAAAGAAAAAGAAAAGAAAGTGTAAAGAAAGAGCAGTAGAAATGTCAACATAGAACACCCATAACACAGTTCTCAAAACAACTAAACTTTGATGCTAATTTAAAATTGCTGTAAAATTTATAAAAACATTTAAAAATAGATGAATTGTAAAAACATGTTGAATTCTCAGTTTTGTGCTCAGTTGCAACCAGCAATGAGTGATCAGCCTATTGTTTTAATTCTGACTGCCAAGTGAAGACTGTTGACAGTCTATCTAGCACGTTCCATATCCTTCCACATACCACTCTATTAATCCAACACATCAACCAGCGCCTCTTGTGTTCCTCTGCCCAGGGTCACATCACTCTGCTTGTTAGTTTTCCTCTGCTTTATTCACCTTTTGCAGTTGGTCCGCTAGAGTATCTTTATTAACTTGATGTTTATTTTAATTTGAGAAGATATTCAAATTTTTATAGCAAACAGGGCTCCATTTTACACTTTGGTACAACTGTAAAAAAACGTCTGCGAAAGAACTAAGGGGCAATCGCTGTTAAACATCAATGTTGGGGATACCAGACAGTGCCCCTACACATTCAATTTCAGATTACTATCCTAGTTAACCATATTGCTATTAATATTGCATTGGTGATTGCTAAAACTTTGTCTTTATTTCTTCTATAGCCAGCATTGAACACCAGACTCAATTCTAAGTTATCAATTATCAATGTTTAAATCCTTAGCCTTGTAAATTTGAACCAAATCCAGAAGACAAAGGAACTGTTAGATCAAGCATTGGGTTAAACTAGCTTTTATGGAGAGCTATTTTCATAAAACAAATCAGGGTGATAAAACTAACCACAAAGGGAAAAGCCGCAGTCAACCTGAGGGCAAGGGGATTCTAACCCATGATTTGCCTACCATTGAGGATATTTTATATCAGCACTGTGCTCAGTGCAAACCGGGAGCAAAATTCGTACCAACCAGCCGCCACTGAGGTTCGAACCATCAGTGTGAGGTGAATGCTTTATCCTTTGAGCTACTGCAACTCTGTCTTTCTTTAACAACAAAATAAAATATTACACTAATAATTGCAGCTAGCAACTACTTTTAATTAGGTAATTTGAATGCACCATATCTATTGTGCGAAATTTCCATTTGCCAGCTCGCCATTGGCAACCGAGTAAGTAATAGAGTTAAGCTTTAGGCAACAGATATTGACTTTAGCGCAACAGAATTTGACATTAAGTTGGATATTTGCAAGTGGTATTCTAGTGTTGAAAGACAGTCATTTGTTGGTACATTTATATTCTTTTAAATTTTCAGACATTTTCTTATTTTTATGATGAGTGTATGATATCGAAACCTTATTTTATGATGATATTATTATTACTTTGCAATAAGTATGTTTCCATTTTTCAGTCTATGGTTCCATTTTTATGATTTTGGTCACCTAGAAGATTTTTTAATAATTCTGTTATAATTTTAAATTTTTTTCATGTTTTTTGAGAAAATAGTGGAATTTTACGCGTCATTATCATAATTAAACAAAATAACCATCTCTTATACTTAGGCCTTTGATTTTGTGTACTTAGCGATCAACATTTACTTTTATGTTTACTTTTGTTATTTTGCAGTAATCTGTTACTTGTATGTACCATTTCTGTTGCAAATGTTGGTTTTTTCACAAGACAAAATTAATCTTGTTGAATAATAAAAAATCTTCTTCTGTCCCTCTTATGACTGTTATTTATGTAAATTTGGTGAACATTCTCTTCTTTTTGGTTAAAATTAGCTATTTATTACATTATAAAAGTGATATTGAATTTTTAAGTTGTTGATAGTTCATTGTAGATATATATACATATATATATATTTTTAACAAGTTTTAAATTGAATATGATTTTTCACTCTTTTATATAGTTGAATAAATAATAAAATAATCTATATATAATAATAGCTAATAAAATTTTTTTTATACAGAACAATTTTATTTAAATCAATAATTTAAATATTTTTAGTTCAAAATGATGCAGTAAAGCTCACCACTGAAGTTTTAGGAGTTTTTATAGCGGGTATGTATAATTTGTTATCAACACATTTTTTATAATTTTCACATAAAATATTAATTTAGTTAGTTCTCAATTAGTATTTTATGTAACAATTATGAAGTACATTTAATACTTAAAAAGTACATTTAAGCTTACATTTAGTTTACTAAGCATTAAGGTAGTTCCTTAATTTTTTTAACACTAAAAAAAGATGTGTTTACATGCCTTGTTTTAAATGAAAATAAAATTTTAGTTTTATTACACTCATAGCTAATTTCACATTAAATGTTGTTCTTGATGTATGCAAATTAATTAATATTTTACCTGAAATATCTTTTTCCTAATGTTAATGCATATAACAGGGTTCCCACAATACTTGAAAAATCCTTGAATTTTGTTGAAAAATATCATGGCCTCGAAAATTCTTTGAATTCTGTGATAAGACCCTTGAAAAGTTTTTGATTTTCTCAGGGTAATTTTCAAACTAGGAATAATAATCTGCCCTTCAAAAAAGTTTGGGAAAAAAAAGAGAAACTTCTAGGGAAATGATGGATTTTTTTTATTGCATTGCATTAATTACCAGATTACGCATAGATTTTTTCATAAAAATGATTAGTAAATCACACATAGTATTTTGTATTAAAGTAATCAAAGAATCACTCCACGCGATTTGCATTGAAGTGGTTTATGTATCCTTCTGCGATTTATGACTTGTTACTTTGTGCATTTTTCAAACTATATCATTTGCTACTCATATTGTTTCAATTTACGAAACCTACGCTGCATTCCAATTTGCAAGTCATACGTTGTGATACGTAATTTATGCGATCTTCGAGGCTTGCTACACATTTCATGTAATTTGATTTACGTGTAATTTATCGTGATTTGTCTACACACGATTTAAAAATTAGGCATAGTGAATCGTATCTACACAATTCAAAACATTATGTCTTGCGATTTATGATCTATTTTAAAGAAAATAAAGTTTTTTATCTGTCAAAATATTGTACTACAAAAGATTTTATTATGACCGAAATACATTACTGATATTATGAGGTAATAAAAAAATATTGTCTTTTTAAAATTGAAACAGATATGCTAAATATTAATTTTCAATTAATTCTAATATGCTTCATTAAAATTTTTCATGAAAATGTTTAGCCAGCCATAAGTTGGCAAGTATGCTAATGTCAATTGGAAATTTTTTGCTAATCTTCAAATTGATTTGAATCACAATGTAATTATCAAACCATTTCCATTGCTAACTGTGGGCTACACATATTAAAAAAATTGCCACAACTATTAAACAATGCAAAATTGATAAACTTAATATATGTTTCAATGTAATAAAATCTGTTTGACATGTATTTTAGCATACTAACTAACTATTAGCATACTAACTATTGTAGGTCCTTGAAAGATTTGATTTTACGTCCTTCAATTTTTTTGAAATTTGAGGTATTAAAACTTTATTCATCATTAAGAAAAACCGTAAGCTATGTGTAACAAAGTATGATGCCAAATTGTCCTACAAGTGACATAAAATTGTACATTAATATTTTCTTTTAAAAAACAGTTTTGCACTCTAACTTCATGTTTAATTCTGAATTTTCATGAGAATCATTAACCCATTTGACAATATGTATTCTTGCACCATTTCAAAAATCAGCTTTCACTCACTTCTGTATTTAAAAAAATCTAAACTCTAAAACAGGACAAAGAATGGTAAATAAATCTGTTATTTTCTCATATCAGTTGACCAATTTCTTTATCTTAAGGCCTACTAAGTATGATTTAATATTATGTCACGTCTAATAGTCTATTATTCATAATGTTTGACTATTCCCAACAAAACAATGCAATAGCGTCATGATAGATTTTGAGAAAAGTGGTTTGACAAATATTTTCGCGTATCGCCAATGCAATAAATGCTAAAATAGAATTACAAAAAAAAAAAAAAAATTATAAAATAGTATTTTATGTTTGAATAAAAAAAAATTTCACTAATAAAAAAATGCCAAGTATATAAAAATCTTAATTTTGAATTTTTTGTTATATTGATTTCACAACAGAATACTTTTCTGAGATCTTTAGCCATAAAAAAAATAAATATATTTATAAATTTCACTTTTAATTGTACACAACCTTTTCTTGTTAAAGAAATAAAAGTTAAATTCCAATGCTTTAAATATTAGAATGCTTTAGTTAGCCAATTTTATAATTTATGTTAAAATGACATTGTTTTAATGGAATGTAAATAAGATACAAATTCATTATACTGTTATTTAATGCAGTAAAATTTTTAATAGAAATAAGAAAGAGTGAAATACAAATAATACAGTGAGGAATATATTTTTTTGTAATATCAAATTATCTATTAAAAATGCGCATTTAATACTTAAAAGCTTTTTTTAAAAAACCTAATTTCGTTGAGAAACGTTTTATGCACTTGATCAAAATAATTTTCATTTTGTTTTATAGGTTTACAAGTTATTTTATATATTACTTCAATATTTTTTTCATTTTTACACTTTGGCAAAGCCTCGTAAAAAATTCAGTTGTATCAGTACTTGTCTTATCAATTTTTTTTTTAAAAAAGGGGTCAATAATTTTCACTGTTACTGAGGGTATATGAATACTTTAGGATAAACAACTATTATTAAGATTCTTAATTTTTCAAAAATAAAATCATTGAGTTTTTTAAAAATGTCCAGAGTCCTTAACTTTTGTTTTGTTAAAAGAGTGGGAACCCTGCAAAAATTCTGTAAGCTTTAGTTTTTAATCGTCTACCACTGTATAAAATATTTTACAAAAAGCATAGTTGTTAGCAGACTTAAGACACAATGCAACTTTCCACTCTCTTTTGCATATTTACTTCTTGTGCACTGAACATTTCATAAAAATGGTTAAGCTTGTTTTAATCAATTAAATTATCCTATAATTTAGTTTACTTCTTGTGGAAACTTATAACTAATTATGGATTGTTGCATAAATGTATGCATAGTTTATATAATGCCCACTGTTACAAATTGTCTTATAAATATTGTAAGATTGTTGAATGTAGTAACTTTCTTTTTTTACAAAAATAAGGTACACTTTTAAAACTTATTAATTTTTCACAGTAAGTTATAATTATTTTTAGAAGCTGCTGCACGATCAGCTGTACAAGCACAGGTCAGTAAAATAATTTTCATTTTGAAAATTTAATTATATCTTAATAAAATATTGGTATACAGCAATAATAATTAATTTGATCATCATAAAGCAGAGATGATTGTGCACCGCAAAAAATCTGGATTTTTCGCTATCTGAGGTCCAGAAGTTTCAAAGAGATGATCGATCACTTTTATGTATAAAAATTCTTGCATATTTTATTTAAAAATACTAGAACTAGAATTTATACTTGGCATCTCTTTCATTTGTAAATATTTTTTCTGGTAGAATAATAAATGTGATTATACATAACAGTAATAGCAGTGTTTTCACTACAGCGCGAGAACGCGAGAATCTCGCATATTTTTTTCCTTTCTCGCATTAAAAAATTATTACCGCGAGAAATTCGCGCATTCTATAAATCAATTTCAAAATTCGCGAATTTCTCGCATTTTGGAAAAAGCTTCGAATTACGCCATTTAGAATAAAATCCATTTCACTTTTCTTTCTAGTCGTTATTTTCAACATTTGCCCTGTTATCTAGCTTCCCTATTTACCAGTATTGTTTAGAACCTTTTCGAACAACAGAACACAACCCCTTCGAACCACGGAACCCCTTTCAGAACACATTTCTCTGCAACCACGTGTTTAACGTAGGTAAGGTTTTTTCATGTAAGACGCTCAAATTTTTTATGCACTAAAGTAAGATGGTCAAATACGTAGTTAAGGCAAAATCTTCTATGACGATGCAGCAAAAATATTCAATGCTTTACAAAATAGACGTTAAAAATGTATTATAATAAAATAATTTTTTTCATGTCTATTGGTATTTTTTTAGTATTTAGAAATCTCACTTAACTTTCTGAAATCTCACCCTGTTTTTGAGAAAGGGTGAGAAATTCTCACCTATTTTTTTTCTATGATGAAAACACTGAGTAAACTTATACATCTAAATATGATTATACATAAAAGTAAACTTATACATATTTATTCATTTAAATTATGCTGCATATAATTTATTTAGAATTTCATGTTTTGAAAATTTCAATGATTTAAATTTATAAAACATAAATTTTTTGAAATGCATCATTAATGATTTTACTCAAGAAGTTTTCAGGATTGAGTTGGGCTCACAATTACCTCTGCAAAAAGATAATTACATAACAATCGAATTTATATCTATGCAATGGCTGTAGCTATTAGTTAACTGCATTGTTTAAATTAACCTAAAAAAGGGATAATCATAGGCACTGAAGCATGGTGGTATATTAATTATAGCTGCTTTTTTTCTCCTGTTTTTATTCTTTAAATAGCGATATCCACATTTTGCAAGAGGAATTATATTAACAGTATGTCCGTATTCCTCACTTTTCTTCTTTAAAAAAAAGTAAAAATGCAGCTTTTGATTTCTTTAAAAAATAGTAATTGATAAGATTATATTTATTGTTATACGAAAGTATAGTCCATATTCCCATTTTTTAATGTTTCTATATCAATTCACTAAGAAGGGTAATAAAATATTTGGTGAGGGCAGTTACGGGAGTAGTTTATACGTATTGTTTTTTGTGTTAAAACTTCTGTTTTAATATACTATGCTTTTAAAAATACCAACAAATAGTGTTTTACTTAAAAAATATCAATAAAAATCTTTCCCTTTTATAAGATTGTTACAATTTTAATGATAAATAAATTTCGCATTATTTTATTTATTGATAATTTATATTTTTATCATTGTATATTTCAAATTTCTAACACAAATCAAATTAACTTAAATTAAGATTGTAATGACATGTAAAAATAAAAGTATGGAATATAACATAGCTACTGCATTGAAAATGATCATGCAGTTTAGTTTATTTAAAGAAAACATTAAAATATCCTGTATTCTTTTTTTAAAAAATGTAATTTTCAACTTCTATCTGCATTTCTGCCATGTTTTTTAATCGAAAGTCAGGAAGTTTAAGGGTAATCAAATTTTAATTTTTAACAAAAACTCAAATGTATGTATCTTTTGACCCGAAAAGTGTTTCATCAATATTTCATATTTTAATACTTACAGAGTGAATCTTCAGATGACAAAGGCATTATACCAGTCGTCACAAATCAGCATTTAGAAAAAGTTTTACCCCAGTTGGTGAGTACCTAATCCCTCAATACAGAGTGGTTATAATTAAAGTTATAAAAGACCTGTGTCCATTCTGTTGGATGAAACTAGGTATTTTGAGATACAGAGGGTTGCTTCCTACAAGAATCGATAATATAAATTGCAATTTTGTTATTTTAAATCATGTTAATATGATACACAATTTTTAGATCGAGTGAATACGAATAGCAATGCTTAGTTTTTAAATCGCATATAAATATAAAAATCGATGTTTGATATTACAATCGCGTGTATACGAAGCACACTGGATTTGAAACTTGCATGAATACTAATCGCGATATTGGGTTTCTAAATTGCGTGAACAGGAATCGCGATGTACGATTTTTAAATCGCGTGATTGATTTGCAAAGCGTAAATTTTATAGCATATAAATACAAAAATCGATGCTTGATATTAAAGTCGCGATTTTAGCGCAGTTTAAAAAATCCAAAATGGCATAAATCCGTCCCATCATAATATAATTGGCGAAAGAATCACATGTATGTAAATGTTTCGTCAACGGGATTTTGGTTAAGTTTCAAAATTTGTCAGATTAGAAGTTTTGACTTATAGAAGCCTGCGAATCAATGTTCTTGAGATACGTGAAAAAATCACATGCACTGCTTCGAGTTTTTAGATCAGCCCTTAGTTGAAAGAAAATCGGAAAAGTTGGCAGCTATATAATTTAAAAAAAAAGTGCCCACTATCCTTTAACCCAGAACAAATGCATCTTGGTAATAATATAAATCACAAGGCTGTGGATGGAAAAACTAAATAGTACAATCTATTCAGTATCCTTGTTGGGAACATATTAAAAAAAAAACCCTTTTATGTTAAATTTAAACTTTTATCATTGTCGAATAATACAGGAAAAAGTATGCCTCCTGAATGCTATGACCTTATCAGAAAAAATTTCTTTTTTAATAGATAGTTAGGATTTTTCAACATAAGAGTAAAATACTGATAATGAATGAAGGCATGTCTTGCATAACCACCTGCATATTCAACAGAAGTTGAATCTAGACACATTGATTCACATGATGACACAGTGTCATCACAATTGAATGACACAAGATAACTCAATGAATCATATGAAATCTAAAAATAGAATTTTAAAATGTTCCAAAAAAAAAATTTTTTTTTTTGAACCTTAAAATAAAAATTTGATGCCTAACAGAGTGCTATATTTATCCTTTCAAAAGTTTAATATTGTAGTTGACATGCAAAAATTGGATATTTGGTAAATTAAAATTTCATAAAAAAATTAAATAATTATGGAAGCAGTAATAAACAAAAAATTCTTTATAATGTAAGTTATAAATGTACGAAAAAAATATGACTTAAGTAGCATGTTGGTTAATGTAATTTAATACATTATAAATTAAGCTTCATGTTCCTGATAGAAGCCCCCTTTTATAGCCAATGTAAACTAATTTTTTAAAAGCAGGCTTCCTAACACACATAAATTTCAAGTTTCGACGGCACTCCAACTCAGAGACTCCGTTGGTCTTTTAATTACAAATACCACTCTGCATAATAAGTAGTTGCTTTGTTAGTAGAATAGAGAATGTTTTTTTAGTAGTAATCAAACCTTTTTTCTAGCTGCTTGACTTTTGAAAATTGGATTGTGCTACTTAAATATCATGTACTGAAGTTCTTTTGTATGTTTGTTGTACACAATGTAAATAAATAAAAGAAGTTTTTAGACCAATATTTTTTTATTTGTGAAACAGGTTCAGGCATAAAATAATCAAAATTTTTTAAAAATAATGTATCCAGGAATGCTATTGTTTCATTAGTTCAAAATAAATAAAATGTACAAGCATTTTAGCTACAAACAATTGTTTTTATGATTCACATAATTTTCTTGTAAGATTTGCTATGTTAAACTATATATAGTTATAAGAGATTTGATATATTGCATATGATTTCTAGAGATGATGCAAATGATTTGAAGAATGAAAAATTATACAGAATGAAAGCATGAACACAATTTTAAGACATTGTCAATTTTAGTGATTAAATTTTAATCTTTCATTCCAGATTAAATGTTAATTTTTATAAAAGAAATTTATTTAAAAAATGCATTGATAAAACTAATCAGACCGAAGTATTACTAGCAACATAGTAAAACATATTATACACATCATTTTTGATGTAACTCATTAGCTGCCAGCTTATCTACAATTTAACTCATAATTACAAAGGAAAAAAAAGAGAGAGATTCTTACTTTTTGAGTATTCAATCTCCATATTTGTACAAGTTAAAACTAAAACATAATTTATTTTTAGCTTTTGTCACAGAAAATAGAACACAATAAACAAATGGTTTAAACTTAAAAAAAAAAAAAAAATGTTCTTGAGACTGAATTAAGTTGTGCAAAACAAAGATAATTATAGCAGGCAGGGCTTACATTTTTTTTCAGATCACAAAACAAGCACTTTTCTTGCTTTGCAAAACATGATAAACACCGAAGAAGAAAAACAAAATGTATATTGAATACTGAGATTTGTAAAATAATCCACAAAAAGTTCATATGAAAGCGAGATTCAGTGAAAGTAAAAACAGACAAGCATGATGATGCATTTAAAATCGACAATAAAACATTAGGGAGTCGCACAACAATAAAACAGATGTGACTAGAAACAAAATACATTTGTCACAAAGCTGAATGAGAAAGGTTAATTTTAAGTTTTCAGATCTAATTTTTCTTTTTCACTAAGCTTTAAAATACTTCATGTTTGTTTCTTCTTCACGACTTTCAGTGAAAAGTCCTGAGCTCACTTCACAGACTCGAGATAATAAATAAAATCCACAATGCTAAAATGTGCGTCAGGTATTGTCCTTAATGAAAAAAGACTATTCTTTGTGCTCTCGCATTTCTTCAATACATGTGCATCAGAGCATTTTACTTTGATGTACACTCCGATTCTAGTATGGAGTAAATCTTGTCCGATAGACAGCAGCCTGGAAAAATGAAATAGAGAAATTATTTTCCAAAATCTAACTTGAAATTTAATTTATTAAAAACGGTTAAGTAATTTACCCCATATCCAGCAACTGGACCTATGCTGTGAGCTAAATAAGGATCTGCATAATCTCTTGCATAACTATAATACAATGATGGAGTGCTAAAATTGTTAAAAAAGATATTTATTTAATAGATAATATTTAGTAATAATATTGATAAACTTTACAGTAAAGCATAGAAGTATAAGTAGATAAATGTCTGATTATCCCTATCAAAATGGAAATCTTAGCCACAGGTATTATGTTCAGGATAAACACCCACTGCTTCTAAGTAACTGCCAATATTATACAGGTTACTGTGGGCAGTCTAATTTTTGAGTGATGAAATGCTTTTATTTCAATAGTGTAAATTTTCGGATATTCTCAAAAAATTATTCATTTAAAAATGCTGATGAAAACAGAATATTTTAAAAGAATAAAAATTTCAGAGGAAATTTTTGAGGGGGGAAAAATAGAAAAACTCTCCTTCCTCATATACTGCAGTTGAATGGACCAAAAATTTGAGACTAACATTTCTGTTTACATTCTTTGTTGTGAGTGAATATTAATAGATTCTTATCTTAAAACATTGGAGAAACGGTGTTTGGGTATTTTAAAAACCACACTTTTATATTTTGAGGCAACTTTATGTTTTCCAAGATGGAAAGTAGAGTAGTTGTTTTAGTGAACATTTAAAAAAAAGTTATAAAATCACAATTATTTCTTACAAGAAAACAGAGTTCTAACAGCATATGTTTTATAAATTAAGATTAAAATTTTAATTACCCTGCTACAGCAGCATATGAAGCAACAGGTTGTGCAGCAGCTGCTGCGGCAGCAGCAGCATAAGTTCTAGCTGCAGCAGCGGTGTAAGCAGCACTGGCTGCATAAGTAGCCTAAAAAAGAAAACATCATATACAAATAGCTGCCTGTAAAGTTTCAATGAAGCAAATAAATTGGAAATGCTTAGTTACAATGCAACTGTTTAGATTGCCATAACTGGAATAAGCTAATTTTCAACATGTTACAATATGCATTCTACAATAAGAGAGAAGTGATAAAATGAGAAATTTAAAGTTTGTTTTTTACGTAATGATGTTAGCTGAAAAAATATTTAATTTATCATACATTGGATGGCATATTTATGAAATTTAAATTTAAAAAAAATATGCATATCATTAAATTACTTACTGGAAGTTGGTACCTCTCTGCACCAGCATATGCCAGGAAAGGATCAGAACAGACCCTAGAAAATAGACTGAAAGTCATAATAAGTAATTAAAAGTTCTAATAAATCAAAATAGATAAATAATAATAATAAAGTGCAATAAATTATTGTTCTAGAAAGCAAGACCTGTAAGCAGAAAACAAAGAAAGAAAACCTTATACCTCATATTGATTTAACATAAAATAATTAAATAAAAAAACAAAAAATCATACCTTAATTTATTAGAAGTATTTACAGTTAACTCTTTTTAAATTTTTTTATTATCCTTTATTCCTTTAGAAACAAAGTTATGCGGTACAGCTTCCAAGCTAAATATCTTTAAATTGCGGGTAGTAATAACATTGAAATTCGCACATTGCTGTAACATCATATTAAAAATAACAGAATTAAAAAAAAAAAAAAACCCTCAGAAATATAAAAAGGATTTACGATAGAATCGTTTCAAATTTACCACATTAAAAAGTGATAACCCAATGAAATTCTTGAGTCATAATTAGCTGGGAAAAAAAAGAAGAAAATATACAGAAATGGCTACAAAAAACAAATGCAAGCATTGGGAATTGGAAACTATGGTATCGTACATATCAAAGTGATAACTCAAACTTGAAGTTTATATGTTATAATAACAAAGTATTAAAAATTTTGAAATATGAAAAACTAAACAGAAATAGCTAAAAAACCATATGGATTTTTTCGAGGAAATTGTGAAAATAAACCTTTTTAATTAATATATATATATGTATTTTAATATACCAGGCAAAGTTTTCGTCAAAAAACAAGAATTTTTCAGACTAAGGGCAAAAATACTGGAAATTTAGTTTAATTGAAGCTTAATGTTCTAACACGGAAAATTCAAAATAACAATTCTCAAGGAAAAAGTTGAACTTTTTGAAGAAGTAGAAAAAAGTCTGCCGGTTTTTTTTTTTTGCTTTATTAATCACATGAATGTAAACTGCATTCAATAACATTTACCTACATTGAATAATTTCAATAAAAAATTTGTTTTGATGTCATAATTTTTTTTCTTGGGACCAGGTAGAAACCTTAATACAGTTTAATAAGACAAACATACTTAAAAGAAAAAAAAAGGAATGGGAATACTTAGCAGGCCATATGTGTCTTGAGAGAGGATATTTGCCCACATTATGTAGTTTACAAAATGAAAGTAGAATAAATTCTAACAGTAAACTTTGATGTTAATAAAGTAAACTGCTTAACTTTGATAATGCACCCATCATAAATATTGAAAGGGATAATTTTTTCTATCGGATAACTACGTATATTGAAACTTAAATATCTCAAAGCAGTAATGGAAAATTAAATAGAATTTAATTTGCTTTTCTTTTTTCAAATTTGTTTTTATTTTATTATTTGTTCAAAGGAAAAATATCATTAAAAATTAATAATAGTAGAAATTTCTTTGAATGGAAAAGACATATTAAAATGTTTTGTGGAATATAAACTTAATTTACATAAAAATATAAGAGTACATTATATTTCAATAATTACTTCTAATAAAATAAAATAATTTTTACATTACACATTTAGATAAAATACCAATAAATAACACAGCATAGACTTGAAAAGATGCTAAAAAAGTGAAAAATGAACACTTATTACAAAAAAATGAATAAAAATCTATATTGTTTTACTTAACAGTCAAATAGGGAGAGTTGGTACCTATGTCACATTATAAAGAACGCAATGCATAAAATTCAGGACTTCAACAAATTACTTACGGTGCATAACCGTGCAATGCTGTTGCTGCTGCAGCAGCAGTGAGCGGGGATGCATGACGAGCAAATGCTGTAGCTAGAGCACCTCGAGCCCGCCCTCTCTGTATAGCTACCCCACGAAGAGCAGCCACTGAAACAAATATATAATATACTTTTCAATAACAAATATTCATTATTTCTTAGGTTCAATATTATGGGATATTTAATTATCTGTGACTGAAGATTGATACGCAGGGCTGCCAACTTTCTATGCTTTTTGCAAAAATTTTACGCTAGTGCCACTCAAGTTGATGTTTTAATGTATTATTTTTATTCATATGGATTTATTTTCCACACCACTACATATAAATGATTTAAAAGTTCATATATAACATCACTTAGTTCTAGCTCTTTCCTGTTAAGGCTTTTAAAATGTTAAAAATTGCTAAAAATTATGAAAGCTTTGGGTTTTTAATGTCCACCACTCATTAAAATATTTTGCAAAAAGCGTAGTAGTTGGCAGGCCTGGATACGATCTGTTGATAGAAGTATCAATCAATTTTAATAATACGTTTTAATTCTGATAGCAGAAACCATGTAGAACAGTAACGGGTACTGCAGATAATTATTTAGCCTTTTTCTTAACATATAAATAACTGTTGAAACGAAGTAAAGATACATGGTAATGGATCTTTACTTTCATGGTAATAGATTTCTTTTGAAGATACCTTTTTTTAATAACATAAAAGTGAACAAATAATAATTTTTTGCTGTTTCTCTTTAATTGAGCAAAACTTTTGAAAATGAAAGAATTTTCTTAAAAATAAAATTCAGGTTTTGCAACAGATGCTGAGCAGTCCAACTTTTACTAAATACAAGAAAAAAAAATTCTTTTTAAATCTAATCAATCTATATTATATAAAACGCTAATATGTACGCATGTATCAATAAAACCAATGATACTTCTTTTCTCGCGCTGGCAACAGTTTTCATTTTTAATTGTTGGATTCGGTGCGCAAGAGCACATAGTGAGCAACCAGATAACAATAACCAGAGTGAGCATTATCAGGTTGTTCAATTCAGATTCATGCACTAAAAACATGACAATATTTAATTTAAACTCAATTAGGAATTAATTAATTAATTGAAGTGAGAATGCTTTAAAAGGCCGCTGTTGAATTGATATTTTTCTACTGGGAGCTACCTAAACGTCTAAAAAACGTTTAAGTGTTTGTATTGAATGCATTGAATTTTTTTATATTTCGCGTTTATTTATGCATTGAATTTTCACGCTTTAAAATGCAGAATATTAGTGAAGCAATATTTGATAATTTATTTTGCTAATATGTTTCTTATTTAGCTAATGTTTTGATTTTTTCACCATGTACAATCTAAATAGCTAATATACTTTTTTAAAAGCCAATAAGAACATTGGTAGAATTCTTCTACATAAGTACAATACTATGTCTTTGATGATAAAATACTATGTCTTTGATGATAATATATTATGTCTTTGTGCTAGAACATTGTGTTCATTGGCGAGCGAGCGCAGCGAGCCATGGTTCACGGCGTGAACCACATAGGATTGCGTAGCAATTCTCGGGGGTTGGCGAGCAGGGGGCGGAGCCTCCTAGTTGTTATATATTTTTTTAACAAAAAAACCTAGTTAATTACTTAGTTAAAAGCAAATGGATTAATTCCAATTTTTTTTTAAAACAGTAATTACATGTTATTCAAATTAAATTTTAACTGTGTTAATTTTTTCAGAATATAATTTTTACTCAACTCACGTTTACAAGTTTTAATGCATAACTAGACATGAGTCAAGGCAATATCATTACCCACAATAAAAATTTCTGTCAATTATCTGCGTTCTGTTAGGAATGCAGAAAAATTTAGATTTTTGAAGTTTAAACAGCAGTTTTACAATTAAAAAATCTTAGTTAATTTTATTTTAAAACGTCTCTAAGTAATAGTTTTTAAAACAATAAATAAAAAATTTTACTAATAAGTGGGAAATTAAGAATTAAACTGGCAGTTATTTAGCTTATATAACTGCTAAGTAGTAATTAAAAATTACACGCAGTTATATGCTAAATAAATACAGCAGACTAATGTTTAGATTTAAATGTTTATCTGAATTTCTAAATAATGTCTAATTTCCTATTCAGCTTATACTTTCTTACCGTTAGGTATAGTCGGAACTTTTTTTGTCTGTACTCGTGCTGTAGCATTGTTTACCTAAAAAATTTAATATAAATATTAATAAAATAAATATTCACTCAAATGTTAAGTTAGAGGGAAAAAAATTATCACAATATGCTAGGACACTCTCAGTAATTAAAACTGATTAAATGATCTGAACACAGTGATATTAGAATTTTTATTAATTTAAATATAGAATATTATTTAATTTAAAGATGGCACTTCCATCGAGTTTTTTTCTTTGAGTGTGGCAAAATTCTTTTTAGAAAGGAAGCAGTTCTATTCTGAGGGTGTCTCGGCATAAAAATGTTGATTGTGCTATGATTTTCTTCTGAATAAAATGTTGTTAACTACTATTACCGCACTATTATACTATTACCGCAATATATAAGATTTCTGTGTTTCATATATTTTAATTTCTTATAACTAAAAACATGGCACTCTTTGCAGGAAGTAATGAAGTAGACTTGCTGATAATGAAAACGTTTAGAATTTGAAATTAAAAATGTATAGGAGAAAACAAAATTTGTAAAAAGAAATTCAACACCAAAGTCACAAAGATGACTTAAAAATCCATAAATGGAGTTAAAGAAAGCAACAGCTGAAAAAAGTAATTAAATTTCAGAAATTATTTTAGAATAACAGAAATTGCAAATATGAAAGTTCCTATTTAAACCAAAATCGGAGCCATAATATTTTACAAAAGCTTGATTCAGAAGCAAATGCCACAGGAAGACAAACAAATCGAGCTGGAATTTAAAAAAGAAGTTTGGGTATCACATTTAATAGGACTGATGTGTGAGTTACGTTATCGCAAAAGAAAATGAAGAAACTATTCGTGATTATGATAGAGTAAAATAACTTCTGATAAAAAGATTTAAAATAACATTAGGGGAATTTTGACATTTTTTCACAAAATATCAGAAAAAGTCACTGATTATGACTTGATGATAATGGCCCTTATATCTTTGGAAATAAAACTTTCATTGAAGTGTGGTCAAATTTTTAACAATATATCATGAAATTTGATGACTGCATAAGAACCAGAAAATCTAACAGATCCTCCATATAGGCAACAAAAATTATGAAGCACTGTAAAAGAAGAACAACTGGAAGAGTCTCTGTGCATACTTATTTTTACAGAAAATCTCATTTAACAAGAGACTGATTGAAAAGGTAGAAGATGTTCAGAATGAATTAAAACTGATATTCCCTTTCATCAGTTTATTGACATTCCAGTAAATAACTACTCCTTACCAAACATACAGGAAATAATCATAGTCGAACAAACAACATTCAAGTACAATAACAGGTAGCATTTTTATTCACTTAACTTCTCCAGTGAAAACAAGAAACTAAAAGAAGTGTTGAATCGTATAAGGTGACAAAATCTGTGCTCAAGTGACAGAATAACAAAAAATAAAAGAGGATTTTTGATGAAATTGTTTCAAGTAATATTTTGACGCTTATCGGAGACAAAACTGATGGAAGAAAAATTTGAAAAGCCAAATACTATTTACTGATTGAAAAACTAGTTCATGAAAATTTTAATCAGAAAAAAAAGCTCAATGAGTTAAAACAAATGAGGTTGTTTGGGTATAAGATTGTTGTTTGTGATACGATTTTCTGCAGAATAAATATTATTAAGTGTTTAATTTTAGTATTTCGCTAAATAAGCCAATGAGATTAAAACCACCTTTTCTATAAACATTTCGTCTTCAGACAATTTTGTGCTTTCAGAAAAAAGAATTCAATTCATTCATTTTAACTGAAAGGCTGTCTAATGAGATATACTGTTCATGAAAATTTTAATCAGAAAAAAAAGTGCATATTAAAATGACTAAATTCTGAATAACCTCAAATTCTACTTTATTTTAAATTTAGAAATGATAGTTGTCTCATTTTTTACTCAAAAATTATAAATTAACCAATCTAACATATTTATGTCGGTTCATATAACGCATACAGTGGCACTAAACTAAATTTTGCTAAAACTTTTCTATGTTTACAAGAGCTTCTACTGAATTAAAAAGTTTTGGGAAATCTTACGAAGAAATACTATTTTTTAGATATGCTAAGAGGTTTTAGATTATATAATTTAAATTTTCAGTAAAAATTGAGATCTAATTAGTCTCATATGTGAATTAATTTTATCCTTGTGAATCATGTCATCAACTGATTAAAAAAAAAGATTTAAAATAAATAATGGATACAAAAATATTAAAGAGCAATAAAAAGTATAAATCATAAACAATAAGTATAAAATTAATGACATATGTGTAAATAGTTAATAAATGTATATGTATCAAAAGGAAATAAATACTAGTAAAAAAAATGAAAATATTTTTTCAATTTATATTTTTCACTGTAGGTTGTATCATTTGGCTGGTTAAAAAAAAAAATAAATAAATAAAACAAATACTTTAGAATTTATTTTTTAGAATTTGCTCTATTAAAAGAAATAAATGCATTATATATTACGTTTCTTAAATAAATGGAGTAATTAATTCACCATTTAACTTTTCTAACTTTATGTTAATGCCAACCAAAAAATTTAGAATAACAAATTCTTCAAGGTTTAAACTTAATAAATAAAAAGTTAAAATAAATTATATGTTTTAAGTTAAATCTGCTCTATTAATAGATACAATTATTAAAAATTTTAATGATATAATTACAAAGTAAATTTAATTGTTTTAATACTTCTGTTAATAAAAACTGAAAACTTTCAAACATAATTAAAACAAGTGAATTTTTCAATTGCAATCAATACAAAACAAATTAAAAAAAGTATTTCCTTCAAAAATCACAATACAAAGTATACTATAAAGATTTCGAGCTTATGAATATAATAAATTCTGACAGCTGATTAAATTTGTTAAAAAATGTTTTTGAAAAATTTTACAATTGAAAATATCAAAAATTCATAAAGTAACTACATTAAGTACCTGGCATTTTGATAATTGAAGGATATTTCATTTCATTATGCAGTAAAAACATATAGTTCATAGGCAGAATCATATGAAGAAAAATTTGTAAACAATAAAAACATATCTACCAAAAAGGAAGAGAATTTAATTTTCAAATATTAAATATGTTCTTAAAATACTTTAAATGTTATCATTTGTTTTAAAACCAAACTAGAGAATTTAAAGCTCAAAAAGTTAAAAACCATTTTACAGATTTATCATATTTTTAAACCTTCAAGTTCATATGAATAAATGCTTTTTATTTCTCCTGTAAAAAAAATTGGACAATATAAAAGTTTTGATAGCTAATTTATTTAATAACAAATTATAAGAAAAATATTTTATAGATAGCAGTTTTAAATGAACAGAGTGGCAATCTTTGCTTTTTTTTATTTATAAAATTTTTTTTAAAAAAAGTCTTTGGAAAATTAATTTTTTCCTTTGAGTTATTTCCCTAATATTATTGCCATTTTCTTACCTGACACCTAATTTTTCCAGCGACCTAGTATAGAATTCAATAATTTGAAACAGTCACTCTATATGCTATAAAAACGAAAAGATCAAAAGAAAATATTATAAAACTTTATATTCTGCCTAAAAACTGTATGAAATAAAATAAAAACTTACAATTTTATAACAGCAGCAGAAGAAATGTCTATCCAATTTTCAATGAGAGCAAGGCTCTATATAATAACCGAGGCCAAGCAGTGATTAAGTTGCACAAAAAAAAAAAAAAAAAAAAAAAAAAAAAAAAAAAAAAAAAAAAAAAAAAATAATACAAGTCCAACTAAGACACAAATCATGACCTTATTAAAACAAACCCTTTCAACTATAAGCAGAACAGCTATTGGGTGAGGCACTTTATCAGAGCCCAACATACAAAAACTAATATAATAATCATTCATAGCCAAAGCATAAAATAGCTTGGTGCAAAATAAATACAGTTGCTGCTAGAATAAAATATAAGAAACAACTTAACAGTCGAAACATGGATTATAAAATACATTCTTAATCCAATACCAAGAATAATGCATGAAAAGAGTGAGCAGGTAGGAAAAACAAGTTTTTTGAACTATAACAGACAACAATGTGAAGAATGAATGTATTTGATTCTCATACTTCACAATATTCAAGCATTACTGTTAAATCAAACAATGGTAGATATTAAATCACAATGCTCTAAGTAACATTATTCTTAAAAAATAATTTAAAACTAAATTGATTTAGATTTATCTACAAACTAAAACTAAACTAGCAATTTTAATGCTTCATACAGTTATGTCCTTGTGTGAGAGATACAATGAGCTTATTTTTTTCCTTTTTTACTAAAAATTAACTTATTTAGAAAATAATTCTTTTATCACAACACAACTTTTAATACTAAATAATTATATTTAGTATGATTTTAATTTGGTATTCCATCCAATTGCAAAATCTTTTAAAGATAATAGGAGTGAAAGTATATATATGTTCAAGTTATACATTTCTCTTAGAAAAATAGGCTTTAAATAGAAGTTAAGATAACTATTTCGTATCAAAATTTAGCGTAGATAAAAAAAAATTCCTTCAATAAATTTTTTTTTTTTGCACGGCAACTACGATTCAGTGCATTCCAATAGAGTAAAATATAAAAACAACCGTTGCTCTTAAATGATCTTCCTTTCTTAAATGATAAAAAACATTTTACAACTTTTAATGTAAAATATTACCCTATGTCAGCAGGAAAACTAATAAGAATAAAAAAAAATAAAGGTGTAATAATATGGAAAAATTTAAAAAAAAAAAAGCATTAAAGAAATATTTTAGATATTCCAACTCTAATCCATATATTATAATTTCTATAACTATAGTAAATAGTTTCCCATAGTAATTATGGAAAATTCATAATAGAAAATAAACATAAAACTTAAAATGACATTAAAATCATCATGATAAAAGATTATTATGTTAAGACTACAAATGCTTCATCCTTAACATTGTAAGAAAACAAAATGAGAATTTTGCATAAAATCTACAAATCATTTCTCTTTCTTTAAAACAGTTCTAATAGCAAAGTTTATTTTAAACTAAGATGTTGTTAAATTAATGTATGGATAATTTTTCTGAAAAAATATATATCTTTTTACTTAAAAAAGTACAGACTAATTTATAACAAAGTATTTATACTTGCAAAAAAATTTTGTATTTCAAGAGCTAAAATATAACCTAGAATTTAATTATTAAAAATTAGATTTGAAAAAAAAGTTTAAAAATTAATTGAGCAATTCATTTTATCATTATGTGATCATTATTTAAGAACTTTAAATAGTAAAATTTTCTCAAATTTCTATTTATATTACGTGCAATTTATAACATTTAATTGAAAGCTTAATCCTTTTTTTTCTTTCTTTTAAAATATCAGACTCTCTTAATTACTTAAAGTACCATTGTTTTGTCAAATTTTAAATTATTTGTAAAATGCATATGAGCTACAGTCCCATTTAAAAATTTGTAAAATATTTGGTAGTATGGGTGAGCGGATAAATGAAACTAATTATAAATTTGAAAAAATAACAATTTCACATTTAATATCAAAATGACTGGATAAATGCTGTATTGCTAAAGAATCATTAAAAACTATTAGCAAAGCATTCAATATTTTAGAAAAGCAAATTGCCTACTAGAGTGCAAAAAGCAAAATTTTTACTATTAAAAAAAAAAAAAAAAAAATTCAATTGTATTTTTATTTTAAAACAACTAAACCATAAAAGAGTAAAATTTTAGACCAGTTATAAATTGGATATCTGCTGTTTGCATGTTTTAGGTAACAAGATGGGTCATGATACTTCCATAATGAATTCAATAGTTATTTTAAACACATTTTTGCTATGATATATGTTACTTTTATGTTTAAATTTCTTTTTTCAACATTAAGAAATGTTCTTTCATAAAACAATAAAATAAACCAATTTCTAAATGAGGAAAAATGTCATATGAAAACATAGACAAAAAGGTGATCTCTTAAATTTTTTTTTTTTGGATTGAGTACGTAAATTACAGAACATATTCATGCATCATATTCAGGATAACATGTCCATCAGTTTTGTCCTTTGCATTCATGTCTTCATATAGCTTCAAATTCAATTACTTTTTATTTTATTGATTCCCTTCTGTTATTAGAGCCCTATCCCCTTCAAAATTTACATAACCTCTTTGATTGAAGGCAAACATCCAAACGGTTAAACCTACTTCACCCTAGGGGCAGACTAGTTGTACTACTATGTACCCTAGCCAATATTTTCAAACATGCTCTTTAATTTTAACTTAACTTTGTTATTATTCATTGAATTAACTATCGAATTCATCACGAGATGCATACTTTCCATGCAAGCCAATTTTCTCATAAATTCAAAATTTTAAAATTTTTTTTATGACAATAATCACTTTCGGCAGTTATTGCGACATATTTACACAGTTTTTCAAATTTAATCCGGTGTCTGTTATATATATAGTCCTACAAGCAAAGCTATATTTTGGCATTTTTTAATTATAAAAAAACAGTCTAATAATTACTAAAGAAATCTGTTAGATTATCAGAATTATTTCTGTAAAAACATAAAATCCAAAAGAAATTTTTTATTCATTCATATTCAAAAATTCATCACTAATTGATTTTGTAAATTGAAAAAAAACATGAATTATGAAAAACTGTTTCTTTTAGATCTAATCAATTGCAAATTTGAAAAATTATCAATAGGAAGCGAGTCGTGTTTGGAAGATTTTACCTACAACACAGAGAAAGTCGCCCGTGTTTATGCTGTATTCCATAAACCATAAAATTGCTAATAATATATTTTATTTGCTCTGATCTACATAATACAAAAGAATGAAAAAAGTTACACTTTAGTTACACTGATTTCATCTCAAATTCACAATTTTTTCAATATGCAAAAATATAATCAATATGTTTTGGGTGTTCTGGAATCGAGAGCATGATTTTTTTGGCAATAGTTATTTAAGTGAGACAAGAGTAAAAAAAGAAATTTATTTCGCTTCATGTTGTAATGAAATGCTGATCTTATATCTAAATGATTGTAAAACATCCAAATTTTTTGATCATATAATAGGGGAAATCAGATAAAAAACGAGAATTGGGAAAAAATCATTTCACTGCTTACCTCCTGTAACAACGAAACTTATGGTGGACATACCACACTGTACATTTTGTGATTTTATAAGGTTTCAAGCAAATTTTAAACATCTGAATATTTGAATTGAGAGTAAAGTTATTTTTGCAGAGAAACATTTTTTTAACACTTGTTTTTGCTTAGCATATTCAGGGTAAGTGTTAGGGTCAAGGTTGTTTAATCTTTAAGCATTTCGATACACTGTTACAAATTTCTTTTACTTTCATTTTCCACCTTCAGTATTTTAAATTAGTGTAAGCCATCATTCTATCTATGTATATCATTCAATATTTAAATTACAATTACTTTTACAATTTTTTTTCCAACATATTCTGTATTTTTTCATCTATTTTCTTCTTCATCTAGTCACACTTTTAAAATAATGATTCAATATTCAATAGTTAATGTAACATTCAAAATTCATCTCGTCATCAACTTATTCAACATTCTTACTAATTTATTAACCATACATTAGATTTAAACTCTTTTTTCATCATTCTATCCATTTTAGCATGCATATCATTCAACATTCCTAATAATACATGAATCCACACTACTATTACTGGTGACATTCATGGATTATATGGTGATAGAATGATAATATTCAAGAATTTAAAAGTGTTGAATATCGTATATGCACACTTTTAAATCAATGTATGCAATCATTCAACATTTCTTTTTAAAAAATTATCATACGCTACTATTAATTAACTTCTTCCTCCTTTATTTAGTGATTAATCATTCTATCACGTAAAAATCTATTAATACATTATTGTTACACATTTCTTTCTTCATTCACATTCTTATTTTTAAATAAGAATATGTATCGATAAGTGTACGTATATCATCCACGATTTACAACCATTTACGACTCAGAGGTATCCCACAAACACCAATTAACTGGAAACCACAGTATGCCACAGAGAGGCAAAAAGTGATATGTAAATACTGTGCCGTAAATGAAGAGGTAAAAATATGTCTTTCAGATTGTTTATTATCATGAGTAATAATAACAAACGAAAATGGAAGAAAAACACTAAATGGTTTAAGGATCTAAAAAAAATTTCGCAAAATTTAATTTTTATGGTTATTTTTGTTAACTTTTGCTATGGTTATTGTTGTTGTTTTGTTATCTTGATGTTCTTGACATTTATCCTTCACTGAATTTTGTTCTCGATTATTTTATTTTGTAACCGTCATTGAACATCCAACAAATTTTAAGTTTACGACTAGTAATGTTCAACTTCGTAGCCTTGTAATTTTGAACCCAACGCAGAACACAAGAGAACTCCTGGATCAGTACCCCTAGAGGTATTGATTTATTATGGGGACTTTATGAACTTAAAAGATTTAATGCCCACAAGCTAGCATTTAATACACAGGGTAAATCTGGCCGACTTCATTCGAACTTCCGATCTCATGAACACAAGTCCAACGTCCTACCAACCTTTCTTGATTATTTGTAAATTACTTGTATTTGCAATTGATTTTTTATGAAACAAAACTAAAATAAATATCTAAATCTATTTACTTTTCACCTTAAATATTAAACTGTATGCCTCTTAATCAATTCAACTTTTTTTTAGGAATAACTAGTTAACATTTACTAGAATTTAGTAGATTGAAATCAGCATTTAATAAAAAATCTGAAAAGTAGTTCAGAATTACTGCTATTTTTTAAAGTCCAGCAACCTTGTTCATGTAGCTTATGTTTTACTTTCAGCATACATGTACATATCTACTCAATTTTTAAGTTGCCACAGACATTGTACATAATTTTTAAAGTATCTCAACATATTTACCCTCTAAGAATTAACATTCTGGACAAGTCTCCTCTACAGCTTTTCCATAACACATAAAAAACCCTATTTGTTTTGTGAAATGGTGAGAAATTTCAGGCACTAAAAAGGATAATTAATTAATTTTATTGCGATTTATACAAATGTAAAGTACTTTCACACTCTTTTATGTATGCTTCATTAAGAACTTTCAATTAAATGATAGTAAAATCTAATATATTTTCATTCAATAATTAGGTAAATATAAATGTATGGGTAAATAAATTGCAAATTTTAATCAAACTAACTTAATTAATTGCAATTAGGAGACAAATGAAAAGCTTAGTTTAATCAGATAAATAGTAATATTAGTATAGATAATGATAGTAAAGAGGAAAATATAATTAAATAGCAATAATTGTAACATGACAGATTAGTACCAAAAACCAATTGAAATAACTTAAAATTTAAAAAAAAAAAAAGATCTGTGTATAATTAAGAATAAAATTAGGATTAAAGCATTGTATAAAGAAAATCTACCATTTGCAAAATGATGAAATAAACTAATAAAGCAATTTTATTTTCATTGTCACTTTTTTCATGCAAAGTCTAAGTGGAAAAACAGGATGGACATTTCTTTGCTGAATAAATATGACATATGATTTAAATAAGTGAGTGCTATCACAAAGGTAAATATTCATGCACCTCTATTTTTCGGCCCTCTACCACCGTGCCGTTCAATTGCTCTCTCGAGCGATCAGCATCCGCACTATTTGCGAAAGTTACAAACCCGAACCCCTGCATGCAAATAGACAAACAAGAAACATGCATTAAGATCCGTGCACCAGAACAAGTAATGCCTGCAAAGAACAAGTACAGAGAAATATCTTTTCTTTAAAAAAAAAACAAGTGAGGACAAAGGCATCAGCTCACTCAGACAGTCAGTATAAAAACCAGTGTCATAAAAATATAAAAGCCCTCATGCAAGGCAGACCCTCTGCACGGGCATCAGTAAAAAGAACTGAAATATCACTATATATGTATATATATATATTATATTTTTGCAAATAAAATAAAAAATATTTAAATAAAACGTCATCCAGTTTCAACAGAGCACATGTTCATAGTTTTCTTAAGTGAAGCTGCATTTAATCTAATAAACTAAGTCAATATAGTCAATATCAAAAGTTTAAAATAATATAAAAATCAAACTACATAGCTGAATAAGCTACTTGTCATATAAGCAAGCAACTAAAAAAAAATATTATTAGATTTGCAAGTTATTATAGGATGTAATTCCTTTACTGATTTCTTGTAAAATGAATATTTTTTTCCTCTACATATTTCTGAATTTAAATATTGTATATTTCTGAACATAATCCAGTCGAAAGAATGCTTTTTCTTTTAAAATTTACCTAAAATTTTAAACTCATATATAAGCCAACAGAAAAAAAAATAACACACCCCATCTATGTTGGCAACGTTTAACTTTCCTAACTACAGATAATTAAGTTCATTTGTTTATCTGAGTTTAGAAATAAAAATTTATCAAAAGATCCATGAACCTTTATTTTCTTCACACCCTTATCTTCTTACGCCTTACAACATGCCAGTTCTGATTGAGTGTGATTCATCAGCAGTTCAACTTTGCAAAAAGATAGAGTATATCAGATGCCAACATCGAGAGCTATCTGAATCCTGAGGCTAGCATGATTAATTTTTTCTGCTCGCTTGATGTTTTATGAGAAAAATAAGTCGTAAAAGTAAATTCTATTAAAAAATATTCATTTAGTTTTCTATTTTAAATTTTATAAGTTTTCATTTCAATTGTTATATTCAGGTGTTTTATTTTCAATTATTATTTTACACATTTTTATGTGTGCCATCTTAAGTTTTCTCAGTGATGACTTTAGCAATCAAAATTCTCCGAAAATACTTTGCCAATGTTTGGAAATATACGGTACACATTTCTAAATGTAACCTAATATAATATCTAATTATATATAGTATTTAAATTTTTACTCAAATAAAATTTAATATATATAAACTGGATTGAATCTAAAAAAAATATGGAAATACCTTTTTATTTAAATTAAGATAGAAAAGAAAATTGAAAGAGAATTTAATAATTTAAAAGCAATGGTGATGTCATTAAAAGAACAAGCTGCACAACACAAAAGGCGAAAATACAAGGGAATGCTTATTTGGATTATTGAGTGATAACAGCAGTTAATAATAGAAAAGTGTTTGGTCCTGCCACCCCTTCCCCATATGATTATATGGCTACCCACAGCTTCATGCACCATGCTTTAGAAGCTAAGTGGGGATACAATAAAACTAATATAAAGACATTTTGAAGATAAGCATGTAATAAATATTACACTGATTCAAGACCAAAAAATACTGTAATAAACATTAATGGCATTATTATATAACAATAAACAATGTACAAAATATGCATGCATCAACTATTAATTATAAACTCAATACAACTGGTACATAGAAATGCATCTTAAGTCTTGTGCTGCTACTATAGGTAAGTGATTGGCATGTTCAAATATAACATAAAAAATCACTGCAAAGATTTAGATTTTAGAATTAATTTTCATAATTGAACAAATTCATGCATTTAATTGATGAAATTTTGAATCAAACATAAAATGGGTTTAATTAATTAGTTTTATGACAATAAACAATTCTTGAATAAAAGTTTTAAAATTTGCAAATGAAAAATATTAAGACACTGGTAAGAATTTATTATGTAACACATTTAAAAAACTTACTAGAGATAAAAGCTGTAATTTTATATCAGTACAACTATTGAAAGTTGAGAGATAAAGATTTACTAAATATGTCAAAGACTCATTTATTAAACTCAATTTTTAGACCTAGCGTTTTTAGTATTCAGGAAACAAAATGATAGCAATAGAGATTATGCATACAAGTAAATTTTGATTATGATTCAATTTGCTTATTCTTAAAGCCTAAAAATATTTCCTATTTAGTTTTTTTAAAAGGGAATTATATTTTAAAGTTTGAATATAAAAGATTTTTAGAAATTTTGAATTATTCAGAAGTAATTTTATTGTATTAAAAGAATGAAGAAAATACACCCATATGGGATTTTAAAGTTTTCTAAAATTCAACATTTCAAGCTAGTTTCGATATTTTACTTATTACTGTTAGATTTATAATACTGTTTTAATTCATAAGTTTCATGATAGTTTTTTTTATTTTATTGTAATACTATTTAAAAGTTACAGTCAATTTGTAAAGCTGATGTTAAAAAGTTAAATGACAGAGAATGATACATTTTCGGCAATGGATATCTGTACATTTTATAAAAAACAAATTAATGAAATCTCTAAACATGATAAAAAATAATTTTTAAATTTAGGGCAAAACTATTATTAGATTTAAGGGTGCCCCAAGTTAAGAAATTTTTTTTTTAAAATTAAGAAAGTAATAAAATAATGTATTTTATAGACTAAGAAAAGTAATTTATTCAAAAGAACATTAATTAAAATTAACTTCTGTATTATATATGCAATAGAAAATCCAACTGTTTTACTTTTGTTTGTTCAACTAAAAAGAATTGTTTCCTTAAAATATACATTTGAATTTTTTCCTTTAAGAATAGAAAAGTTCATTTAAAAGCCCAAGAGCAATAAATTATGTCTTTATCATTAACATTTAATGTTACATTTATAAAGCAAGCAATCAAAAGTCAAGAGAGAACTTTTTTTAAAAAAAAATGTTATCTTAGGCAACTTTGTACTAAACTACATTATTAATTCTCAATCAATATTTAAAATGCATCAAGTTCAAATGCTGCACTATAATTTAATTAAACACACATAATACAAAATCATAATTTTAAATGGAATCAAAAATATACTTACCAGAATTGAATAAAAAGAAAAAGTTAGAAAAAACATTATAGTGATACAGTAAAAAATGCCATAACCTGAAAACTTTTTAACAAGCAAAATAAACAATTTCTCTATCTCTTTTTAGCGTTTTTGATGTGGTACAAAATTTTACGTGAGAGAAAGTTATGTATAAAAGTTCATATAAGAAACTATTGTATAAGAAATAGTTTTTTCTGAATAAGTCAATTAAAGATTTATTGCCCAGAAAATACTATTTTCCAGTATTTTTGAAGTCTTAGAGATTCTAGATATGAGACTTTCTACTGTATTTCAAACAATCAAATAAAATGAACATTAACAAATAATCATGTCATGTAATTTTAGAGTTACAAATAATTACTGTTCTTTTTAAAATGTAAAATTTATACCTACAAAAATTACCGGATATAATTGTTTCAAACAAATGAGGAATGTTTTGAAAAAGCTCCATAGAATTATTTTATTGCTATCCGGTTTTCCTGCACTCAAAATTAGGGTAATGCTTGCTTTAAAATAAATTATCAATGCCATACAGAAAAACAAATTTGTTTGAATTTTAAGAATACAATTGTAAATTTCTTTTTCTTTATGATTTAAAATATTTTGTATTTAAAAAATGGCAAATATAACAATCTTTACTTTTTTTTCGTTTATAATTTGACTTTTTTATGAGTTTGAATTTACATTAGAATGAAGCGATTGATCTTTGTTAGAATCCTATTTTGAATTGGAGTATGCTTAACAAATTGACCGCTAACTTTCTTCTGCTAAGTTTGTGAATAAAAAGAAAAGAAAAAATCCTGCTTATTAGGAGAATGCATATATCAATGCCATACGGAAAAAACAAATTTGTTTGAATTTTAAGAATACAATTGTAATTTTTTCTCTTTATAATTTGAAATATTTTTTGTTTAAAAAATGGCAAATATAACAATCTTTTCTTTTTTTTTCCTTTCATAATTTGACTTTTTTCTAAATTTGAATTTATATTATAATGAACGATTGATCTTTGTTATAATACAATTTTGAATTGAAATATGCTTAATAAATTGACCAATAACTTTCTTCTGCTAAGTTTGTGAATAATTATAAAAAGAAAAGAAAAAATCCTACTTATTAGGAGAAAAACCACCTTTGAACATCCAAAAATTTATTTTCTTTCATTTTGCGAAAAGGATACTTGATCTTATAACTGCTGCTTAATGATTGTGGTTGTTTTGTTAATTAAGGTAACCAGAAAATTTTTTTTATTCTATCTCTCATATACGATTCAAAATTTTCTTTAACTCTTAAGAATTATTTTAAGGTAATTTATTGTTAAGTAAAGAAGTCCTGGAATGTAAGGAAAAAATTCTTCACAGGCAAAACAATTTTTCAATAATTTAGTAGGAAAAAAGAAAATTATAATTTTTTTAGCACAAATATCTTAAGCATATGCATAATAAAACATTCAATTCAGAGCACAGCTAATAACTAATTGATTTTTCTGACTACAGAGAGAGATAAGAAAGAAAGAAAAAAAAAACATGAACATTGTCATTTTTGTAGTCAAAGGTGGTCTTTTACCTTTCCAAAGAAAAATGAAATATGTGTGTTGATGTATACAAATAAGAATTAAATTAGCAAAAACAAGTTAAGTACTTGTAGATGCCTATCCTCATTATGCTGGTTTGCTGATGCCCTTGATACAGCCTACTTATTATATAGAGATCTTACATACCTTCGATCCTCTTTCATTAAATATAATTTCTACATCTAAAATTGGACCATATTGCTGCAAACACAAAATGAAAAAAATACATTATTTTAAACAATGTTAAGCCTTAATTGTATTTTAATTTATTGCTAAAGACAAGAACAATTTAAAAACTGATGAAAAAAAGCTATTCATTCAAGAAGTTTCAATTATATAGAACATTTAATTACAAATAAAAAAGGACAGAACTATTCTTTTAAAATCTTATTTAGCATTTAGACACAAAACAGTTTGTTTCTCAATTCTATAAATATTAAACTTAAATTATTTCGAAATTGCAGAATGTTAACAAAATTACGATAATTCAGTTCAGTTGGTGAATACTAAGAACACACTAAGTGTCTGGTATTAAGCAGGTTGAAGAAATTGTTTTTACTATTTAAAAAAGATTTAATTATATGGAATTAAGCAGATTTATGCAAAAAATTATTTAGCAACTAAATAATATTTTGCAACATATCATATTGAATAATGAAAAATAATTAATGTGAGAACTACTAATGCCACGCCCCATAATTGATAATGTTTCATATATACTACTTCAAATATTAGAATTAAAGTAAAATTTTATTAATAAACATTTTTGCTATAAGCTTAAAGGAGTCAATTGCTTATCATTTTCAAAATGGAATTATTTATAAAAATTGATATGCAAAATATACAACGAACTGTGAGCCAAGAAGAAAAAAATAATAGAATGTTTTATTTTCACTTATCAATAAATATATATTTTAAACATTCATATTTTTAATTCAGAACAATAAAATTAGAAGAATAGTTTAGAATATATATTGGCTTTATATTCCACAAGATTTTTGTGTATTAAATTTAAATTGATCATTTTTATCAGGTTATGCATATGATAATGTATTTCAACACAATAGTTAAAACAACTTAAATTTATTAAAATATTGATTTGAAAAGAAAAAATTTTTCACATTAGAAAGTTTTCGATAGCTATGGAAAATTAATGAAATACAGAATATTAGAATTTTTCTGTTATAAGCATATAATCAGAACACATAAAAAAAAATGTATACCCCAAATAATTGTCTCAAGTCAGGATCCCTAAAACGGAATGGGATATTACTGACATGAAGTCGTTTTGGTTGGCTGACTTTGGTAGAATCAGTAGTGGCTGTTGTTGTAAGTGTCGTAGAGTTGGTACTGGTTTGGCTAGCACTTCCATTAATCTCATTATCCAAATCAGTTTGCTAAATGAATAAACAAAATCAATTAAATAATTATATTTAAGAAGACGGAAAAGACCACATACTTTGTCCTTAAATGGTAAATTTCTTTTAATTGGAGAAAATATTGTTCAAAAAGATTTTATAATTGTCTGCTATACTGATTACTTTTAACCTTAAAGGATGCTTTTTGAAGTTCTCATATGAAATAATGTTTCTTAATTTCTTCATTTTTCTAACTGTTGTGAGCTTATAGTATTCCTTTCTAATTATTAGATTTTAAAATTTTGACCATTTCATGATGGTGACGATGAAAACGATGCAAAAAGCCACACATATATATTTGAATCAAGTGTAAATAACTTTTGAATATTGATGAATTATAAAGAAAATGTAACGTGTGAACAAGCTTGAAGAACGAGTTAATGGTAGATCATCTAAAAGTAAAAAAAATAAATAAATAATAATAATAATAAAAAGAAAAAAAACACTTTTTTTTTTTTAGAAATTAGAAGTTCTGCAAAAAACTGATAGGAAGGAACAAAACCTTTTTTACTAAATTTCAAGATTTAATCCTTTGCTTTTAAATTGAAAATTATTTTATTCTGAAATAGACAAGTGAAGTCTCATGTTATACTATTTTTTTTTACCCAACCACAGATAAAACGAAAATTTTAATTAAAACATATTTAAAATAAATTTTTTCAATATTTTATTATTAATAATTATATTATTAATAATTATATTATTAATAATATATATTATAAAATATATTATTGCACCTTAAAATTTCGAATAAACTATACAGCAACATGAAAGCTGGGCTCGAAATTAACAGTGGTAAGTTAGTCTGAAGTCATCAAACTAAGATAACCATAAAATAATTGTCAGTAGTACTCCAGATAGCAATCAATGTAAAGGGTTGTCTAAAATGGCATATTTTATCATAATTGTAAACTTTACAAATTATCTATATTGTACTTTTCTTTTTGTTTAAATTCATTTTTAATTACGTTTCTTTAAAAAATATAATAGATCTTCAAAATTATAAACAATTCAATCTAGATTTAGCTATTATAATAGTGAAATCTAAACGGACCAGTAAAAACAAGTTTGACTAGTAATAGCTTTTGACTATTGGTCCTTAGGATCAGCTGTAAAGTTTTCTTAATTTTGTGCATGAAAGAAAGTATTAAGTAACTTGATTTAATTCTAATGTATTTAATAATATCACCCCACAATATCTTAACAAATATTTAATTGAATGATTATAATTTACATGAGACATAATATAAGTTTGTGTTTTTAATGATAGAAAAATAGCAATAGATTAATTACAAACTTTCTTTAAAAAATATAATAGATCTTCAAAATTATAAATAATTTAATCTAGATTTAGCTATTATAATAGTGAAATCAAAACGGACCGGTAAAAACAAGTTTGACTAGTAATAGCTTTTGATTATTCGTCCTTAGGATCAGCGGTAAAGTTTTCTTAATTTTGTGCATGAAAGAAAGTATTAAGTAATTTGATTTAATTCTAATGTATTTAATAATATCACCCCACAATATCTTAACAAATATTTAATGGAATGATTATAATTTACATGAGACATAATATAAGTTTGTTTTTAATGATAGAAAAATAGCAATAGATTAATTACAAACTATTTTTTAGAAATCAATGAAAGAATATGTTATAGAGAAAGACTGAAATCTGGAGATCAACAATCACACAGGGAATGCCCAAAATAATTTATTCATTAATTTTAAGATTTATTAAATATTTTATTATCCATTTTGGCAAAACATCTGTGTTGGGAATACTGGGCAGTAGCGCTTAACACTGGAAAAAAAAATAATTTAGGGAATAGAATCAGTGTAGATCTTCTGTTCTTCAAGATCTAGATCACCCTTTTCAAGTTATTTATATTGATTTAAAGCCTGTTCGTAGAAAAATTGATGAAATGTTCAAGATCAAGACAAGAAAAACACTTGATTCTTTGAACCTGTGGAAACCCCACAATCTTCCTGTTTTGGTATTGTAAAATATTTTTTATGTTCCATCATGTTGTAGAGATTTGTCTTGTTTGTTTTATTCCATAAAATTTTGAATAATACAATTTATTGTTCTGTTACCTTAAATATGAATCAGTTTGTTGTAAATAGTCATAATGTTACGCAATGAAAAAATTTTGCTATACAGATTTTAAATTTTTATTGAACTGTTTTACTTCAAATGATGTTTTTATTTTTTTACTGTACATACCATTGTAACTGGATTTTATTTATAGTGCTTGTTTTGTTTTCTCTTTACAATTAAATACAAGGCAAAGCATTTTAAAATTCAATATTTTTTAAAAAAATAAGGGTAGAGAATACATGTTATTGTTCCCAAACCTATACAGTATTCCCAACATATATTACATTAAAATATTAAATAAAAATTCAAATATCAATGAATAAATTAATATCAAATCAGATCTAGCATATACTTCAGACATTTACGAGTGAAAGCTGAAAATTGTAACTTTTTGTCTCCCACAGTTACATACATAGTTAATTGGAAGCATTTAAATTATATTTTTTATTGTGACTACCCAAATATTAAAATATTCTCTGATGTTCACTAGCAACAATTTTTGTAAAATATATTCTGATTTAATTTTTTTTTTATTAGTCAAAAAACCACTTTCATAAAAAAGTAAATATGTTTTTTTTTTTTAAATAGTAATATTAAGAATATTTGAGTATGTCAGCATTATATACAGAAAAAAGTGAAAGCCTTATTTTTAAAAACAACACATTATAACACGACCAACAAATCTAAATAAGTAAATATTAGTTAAACATACTTTACTGTTTTCTTTCATTTCAAAAACACCACAAAATTTTCTAAAACATAAATAAGTGCATAGAATTTTTTTTTTTTTTTACAGGATAATTGTGCACAGTGAAATGTTAGAACTGGGAAAAAGTCAAAGAAGGAAGTCCAGCAAAACAAAGTGTATTAGATTTCTATTACCGTTTTATGTTAGCTAAAGCATATAGGATTACAAGCAGGTACTTACATAGGTTGGTAACTACTTAAAAAGGAAAAAATATATATGTTCAAAGCAAGAAAACAGTACTTCCACACTCTTTAGGTTAATGGAAAAAGGTATTATTTTCAGTATTAGATGACCATCCACCTTTTCCCAACTTAAACTTAAGGTATGAGAACGACTGAAAGAATTATTTACATACCCTATAAAGTTGACACCATAGTGCCTCCTGATCAAGTGGAGACTTCTCTTTGTGCTTAAGAGAAAGATAGATATTTCAAGTAAAAGTAATTTTTTTTTTTCATAAAATAATAAATATTATTAGTTTCTTTGAAACAAGTATATACTGTTCTATCATATTCTCTCACATTAAACAACAGTTGATCAACCCTTTCAAATAAGATAGAAAAATTACACAATCAGAAAAATTTTCTAACATTGGTAAATATTACTTTTGAAAAATAGTAATAAAAAAAAGTGGTGAGTTAAATTCAACTAACATCATTTTCTATTACTAATTGAAAAAAATATTCACCTTAATTCCTTCTATTTTAAGAAGTACTGGTTTGCATGCTTTGTTAGCATTCATTCACTTTATAGTAGTTAAAGTAAAAAATGACTGGATTTACAAAAGCAAAAATTCAAAGTAAGCATTAAAAATTCATTCTTAATGCATCATTCCTATTAACTGTTCAGAAAAAAAAAAAATTCACACGCCAGCAAAAATTCAAAATGTAACGTCCCAAATCATTAAGATAAGAGGTGGCCAATTTGCAAAAGTTACATTAAAAATATATAGCACAGTAAAGTTTACAAAAATATTAAATTTTTTTAAAATTTATTTTCCATAACAGTTAATACAATTTTAGAAATGTGAAGAAAAAAAAATGAAGGGAACATTGATTTAAAAAAATAAAATTTTAAACATTGCCCAGAATATTTTTTCTTTTGGAAATTTTTTAATATCATACTTATTTAAAAGATTTTGAAAATTAAAAATGGGTAATACATGTAGATATATATTTCAGCTAATTACCACATTATTTTGTTTCTTTATATATTTTTTTAAAATACTTATTTTAGTTTCAAATGCAGATTATTAAATAACTACCATGGTAGATAGATCAATGCCATTAATGGAATTATGCTTCAACCACCTTATTACATTTCAGCATTTTAACTTTTAACAAACTCAGGCACTAAAGAAATAAAATTACTTGGAAAGTAATAAACTTACTGCTAGAATCTATAATTTATATAAAGTTGATGCTTAAACATGAGTAATTTCTAAGATCAGGTAATTCAAATTTCTGATTTTCTTTGATATCTGTGTTAATATTTTTCTTATTAATTTAAATTAGTTCTTTTTCTTCTACTGGTAATTTGGTTGCATAAATAGTGCAGTTTCTAATTTTTAAAGCATCATTTTCTCAGAAGTTAACAAAATAATTCATGTTTCTTTAGAATAACATTTACCAAATATTATTTGAATTATAATGTTTTTTTTTTTTTTTTTTTTTTTTTTTTTTTTTTTTTTTTTTTTTTNTTTTTTTTAATCAATGTCTATAGTTTTCTTAATTCATGGCAGATTTATTGAGTCTCATTACTCATATTTAAATACAGTTGCAATAAACTTGCAACTTTAATCCAACATCCAGGGCTGAAATTTTTTTGTTTCTGTATATAAGTCGATAGAGCTTCCCTTCTATTTGAAAGAAACATTAATGTAGAGGTCAAATAATAAATATTTAAATCTGCACAACTGCAGAATCACAACATGAAGTATACAATAAATAATGGGAGATATTGCCTATAATAAATTTCCAACCTAGATTACAATAAAAATGCATATATTCTTTATTTCAAATTTTGGATAATTTGAATTTTTATAGGGGCCTTTCTTCAAATCAAAATTAGTACACCATATGTAATTTGTAAGCTTATTGTTTGTTGTCCGTATGATTTCTTGATAGAAGCAACTTTTAAACAATAAACACTTAATGACACTCTGATTATTGATTTAGAGGTTACAAATGGTTTTAAAAGCCCTAGTTTTGTAAAAATAAAAGAAAAAATGAAAAAAAAAAAAATAAAATAAAGCATTCTTTTTATGGAGAAAAAAACTGAAGCAAGGCAGTGGCTTGATAAGTGTTATGGAGACCTTGCACCAGGGAAAACAACTATGATTGACTGGTATGCTGAATATAAACGTTGACGTAAAGACACTGATGATGTTGAATACTACGGTCATCTGAAATCAGTCAATTGTGTCAAAAAACATCAAAAAAGTTCATAAAATAGTTTTGGAAAATCATAAAGTGAAAGTGGGATAGCTGACACAGTAAAGATATCAAAAGGTAGCACGCCAAAAATTTTACATGAAAATTTGAGCACGTGCAAGTTGCTTTTGAAATGGAAGGAACTAAATACCTAATCGAAAAGAACATGTCGACGATTTAGAACACTGTTTGGAACTGTTAAAGCTATATAAAAAAGTATTTCTTGCGAAGGTATGTGACAAAGGATAGAACATGGAGTCATTACTATCTGAATGAAAAAGATCTTGAACTGAGTGGACAGCAGTCGGTGAAAGACGTCCAAAGTGACCGAGAACTTAAAAGTCAGCTGGTGAAGTTATGGCTTCTTTATGTTGGGACACACACAGTATTTTATTTATTGACATCTTGAAAAATGATAAAACTATCAATAGCGAATATTGCATGACATTATTAGATCAACTGAGTGTGGAAATCAAGAAAAAACACCGTCATATGAGAAGAAAATAAATTCTGCTTCACCAAGACAATGCCCCTTGTCACATTCATCCTTAGTTGGGTAGTTATTTTTCTAACATAATGGAGATACTTTCCCGTAGAAAATTTTTCAGAGTAGTTTTAAAATAATTGAATCAAGATCCGAATTGAAGCAATACATAAATATTAACAATCAGGATTATAGAAATATGCAAAAAATTGTTCTAAATTCAGCCTCTAAATAAATTTATAGAATTGTTACAAAATTGAAATAGTTAAAAAATTCAAAATTATGGAAAGGAAAATAACCACAAAATAAAGAGCAATTTGAAGTAAATAATAATTTAAAAATAGGTTTTACTCCAATTTCAAGTTTTTGTATAATTCAATAGCTTTTAATAGTTCTTTTTTACCAAATAAGTCCAGCTTAAGAATTTAAAACTGGGAAACAAAATAAATAAAAACTATTGTCTATTTTGATAATTACTTAATATATCTATGTCTATTAATCAAAACCAACCAACAAGATTTCATAAAAATGAAATAAGCACCATACCGTCTGCTGTTCAATTCCATTTGCAGTAGTTAATAGAGAAGATGAAAACAGATCCTTTGCATCCGAATTATGCGTCTGAACTGTTGCCTGATCAGCACTAGTTGTGTATTGAGAATAAGTAGGAGCAAGTTGAGGGTTAACCATATGCTAAAAAAAATAATAATATTAAATTTTTAACAAAGTAAAAAAAGAAAAGAAAAAGAGATAGAATTATTTATTAATTTTTATGTAAGAAGGGTACCTGTGTTACGTTTTGAGAATTTTGGAAAATGGCAGGGAAGGTTGTGAATTTTTCTAGCATTAATTTTGAAACGCAGCAAAATTTAATAATAGTATTTTAAATAGTACCCTCTGGCAATAAAAATAGCATATAAGGTTAAAGAAATCTAAAAAAGTAGGTATAATAAATAGTGTTTAGTAAAGACTGCCCTTAATACGTTTTTTTAAGGATCTTTACCCTAAATAAAAACAAAATGGTATACACAGTAGAAGACACAAATTATTATTTAACTTGGTAAAAACAAAAATGCGATATGCGAGCAAAATTTCGATCAGAGTACAGTATGCGAATGATGCTGGATGCGAGCAAGACTGGTTTGATTGCCTGAGGAATCAAATGAGTTAAACAATATAAGAAAACCAAATTTCAACCTCCTATAAAAATCTGTTTTGATGTTCAGCTCTCTCTACTGTAATTTGTCAAATCACAATAGCGTTATTTGATCATCTTTCACTTAAATATTAAGTTCTGACCCTGCATAAGTATACTTTGCTTTCAGCTTTTGAAAAGGATTTTAAAAAACACATATTATGAGCGGTCTTTTTGGAACACCCCACATAATACATTCAAAGCCAAGTGCTGCCCTGCTTAAACTCTCAATAAAAAAAGGGTCGACTATTACCGATCTCCTCATGAATTTAAGTAGTTTTTTTGGTTTTATTAACATAAATATATTTTGATATGATGGTAAAGAATGTTGTTATTACGAGACTCAAATTTAGGGTTTGTGATGACTCTAGAATTTCAATGATTTTTTGAGTTTCTTTTGCGACAATTTTATTGTAAACTTTTATCACTTTTTGATCATTATTTCAGCAGTTACTTTTTTTCCCCAGTAGTTTTCACGTGGTTTTTCAAGTTGGAAATTTAATATATGAGTAGAGATTTTTTCTAGATATTCCTAATTCTCCCAATTGCACCGTCAATCCACATCGTTTTTCAGCAGTTTCTAAGTATTTTAATGAGTTTAATCATTAAAATTACGTTTAAATGTAATTTTAATGATTAAATTTTAACACGCTCTAATCTGAATGAAAAAGATCGCGACAAATTCATCATAAATCTACGTCGTTTTCCCACTGTTTTTTTTGGCACTTATTTATCCTTTTTTTAAAACCATTTCTACATGGTTCTCAAATTTCCGATAGTTTAAATGTGATATTAGGGCACTTGAATTTTGAAAAAGAATAATTCCTTTCTGACGCGTGTGATTTACGACCATTCCATCGTATATACGCAAGATCTTTTTTTTAAAAAGAGATTTCCACTTAGTTTTCAATATTCCGATATTTAAAATACGATTCCGTAAATTACACAAGCTTTCGATTTTGAGACATCACTTTTTATGCACTCTGTACGCGACAATTGCGTTGTAAATTCACGTCGTTTTGCGATTGCTTTTTCGACTATTATTTATCGACCCGCCTGTTTGCCAACAATATTGTTTCTTAAAAAAAGTAGCCTTCTTTTTTAAAAAAAAAAAATTATTCCTCATCCTTCTGAAAAAAGTCGCTGATTTTTTATTTTTTCAGAAATAATAGCTATAGTCACCTCCTCTTGATTTTCGTAGCAAATAGTAGCATTTTAATCGTAAGTAGACCGTTAATACTTGCGATGCAAAATTGATTCAGAGTTGTTACTTCATTTATGAAGAAAAAATTTTCCTCAGTTTTTCTTCATTAGCCAGATAAATTTTTTTAAAAATATTGTTCGCAGCAATGCATCAGTTAAAAAAAGTCAGTGATGAATCAGTAACAATACAAATTTATTGCCATTTCTACATATTATATGATTGTAGGATTGTATCATACTATACCCACATATAAATAGTCCTACAAATCAAGCTCTTGGACTAAATAATTTCCAACTTTGTAAAGAAAAAAATACATTCAAACATTACAGTAAATAAGTTCGATTATTAAGTTTCATCATTGTATAAGAAAACTATCAATTTAAAATAACAATTTAACTTTAAGGGAAGGATTTTATGCAAGAAATTATGACATTAGAACATAAAAATGTAAAAGTTAAAAAAGTCCTAAAATTAAAATCTTTTCAAATTCTTACACCCCCCCCGGGGGTTTTCAAAAATTTTAATTTTTCTTAAGGATCTGAGGCTCTTCTTGAGGCGAATGAACAGTGCATTTCTTATTTATGACATTATTATTACTCTTTTAAATAAAAAGTGGTTTAAAAAAGAATTTTTGTGATAATCAAAGTTGAATTTAAAATGTTTACTAAAATAGTTAATAAAAGCTATATAACAAAAAATAAATAAATAAGTAGAACGAAGCAAGTATAAGGTAAAAATGGGCAAACATATTTAATCACAACCTGTTCAAATAATATAAAATGGCTTTAAAGGGAACTACCCCAGAACTATTCGAAATATTTTCAAATCTAGGATTAAAATCACAATTTAATGAGCACGCAGCAGTTTTGGATGAAAATTAGAAAAGAATACCTTCTTCTTTAGTAACATTTTATTGCCTCTTTTCTTCAACTTATTTATGTTAAACTACATTTACCGGGTATAAATGTTATCTGGAAGGAAAAAAAAACAAAAAAAAAAAAAAAAAACACCGAATTAGATTATTTAGTTTTTAGAAGTTTCTTATTTCCTTTTTTCATTTATTCGCAGTTACTAGCATTCTTTTGCTTTATCATTTTTTTAGATAATATAAATTTTATTTAATTTTAAATAGGTTTAGGCTCAAAATATTTTTCATTGTAGAGAGCATGATCAGAAGCAAACTGGTCCAAGTTTAAATCAAAATTATGCCAATAATCCAAATAACTATTTGTATTACTGGTATAATTTTTACCGGTCCGCGATTAAAAAAAAAAAAAAAAAAAAAAAAACTGAAAAATTTAAAGTTTTTTGTAGTAGCAAATAAGGTTGAGAAACACTGGTTTGGTGGCCCTTATTCAATATTTCCTAATTGCTCAATATTTCACAAATTGAAAATTTTTACGCTATGCATACATACATCTCAGGAGCATTTGCATTTATCATCTTTTTTCTAGTAAAGATGGTTTGCATGCTATGAAAGATCAAGAAAAAATACACGTAGGCCTAAAAACGCATAAAAGGTTAAGTAAACATTTTTCTAATCAGAACTTAAAATGATCGACATACCTTAAGTTTTCAATTTGAATATTGACTGCTGTATTTATAACAGAGAAATTAGCACCTTTACTTTATTTCAAATTAAATTTTGGGATCTACATCTAAGAACCAGCAGGATTTTAATTTAAATCCACCTTAACCAAACAAGGTCCTTTGACACACACACATTTAATAAAAAAGTATTTATTCATGCAAGAGGAAATTCACACCCGCATATCCATTCAGAGATATAAAATGATAGTATAAAATATGAATATTAAAAGAAAATAAAAAATTTATAACGTTTGAGGAATGTAATGTAATAAAGAGAGGGGAAAAAAATCATAATTTTTTCAAGATAGACGAAAATTTGGGATCCTATGAAATTATTTTTTTAGGGGCACCCTCAAAACAAAATTATTTAAAGGGCTATTATTATGGTTCTGTTCATAGCTATAGACGTTAGTCGATTTTGAGAACTATACTACTTAACTCAGAATTTAAATTTTATTATTTAAAGAAAATTAGAATTTTATAAACCCCAATGAATAAATTATGAATCCTCCTGTATCTAGAGTTTACTTGTGAACCAAAAAACACAAACATTCGATGATCGAGATTTTTTTAAAAAGAATAAATTACAGCTAATTATTAATTTAGAATACTTCGATTTCTAACCTTAATGAATGACGCATGCAAGAAAAATTCGTTTTAATCTTCTAATAGCTTCATTTGGAGTAATAAATTGTCTTATTTCTTCAGAGCAGCAGCTCCATTTACATTTAAAATTAGGAGACTGGCACTTTTTAAGATAATACATTTTAACAACAAAATATATCAACATTATTCAATGAAAAGCAATAAAAAAATAAGATCGTGTTTATCTTGAATAAAGATTGCAAAAGTTAGGGCAGTGTAAAATTAAGCTGATTAAAGACGATAGTTCATTGAATTAGATAAAAAGAATAATCACACTAATTCCATTTATTTAAGATTTTAGAAAGTTGGTAAGTTTATTACCTAACAAATTTTTAAATAAATAATATGATTAATAATAATTATTTCTCAATTCTTGTAGGTGGAAGTTTAAACTAATTTTTGTTTTAAAAATTGAACCAAAAATACACACTGAAAGAATGCTATCGTAAATAACGAGAATTTCAACTTAAACTATTAAGCTGAAAACAAGTTAATATTTTTTTCTTTAAGAAAACCGATTCCAATCCAAGCTGGATTGAATCATAAAATACTGCTGTNAAAAAAAAAAAAAAAAAAAAAAAAAAAAAAAAAAAAAAAAAAAAAAAAAAACAACAACATCGAATTAGATTATTGTTTATTTTTTAGATGTTTTTTATTTATCTCGCATTTACTAGCATTCTTTTGCTTTATAATTTTTTTAGATCATATAAATTTTATTTAATATTAAATAGGTTTAGGCTCAAAATATTTTTCATTGTAGAGAGTATGTAAATGATCAGAAGCAAACTGGTTCGAAAATAGGTTTATGTGTCACAATATTGTTTAAATCAAAATTATGCCAATAATCCAAATAACTATTAGGATTATTGGTATAATTTTTACCGGTCTACAATAAAAAAAAAAAAAAAAGAAATATTTTAAAGCTTTTTTAAGAAGTAAGGTTGAGAAACACTGGTTTAGTGGCCCTTACTCAATATTTCCTAATTGCTCAATATTTCACAAATCCCATTTGAAAATTTTAACGCTATGCATACATCTAAGGAGCATTTGCATTTATCA